CCATTACCATCGTCTGAACTAGTGACTCCTCCATTACCATCGTCTGATGATCCAGTTTCACCACCATTTCCATCATCAGAACTAGTGACTCCACTGTTACCGTCATCAGAACTGGTCACTCCCCCATTGCCATCATCACTAGAAGAGCTTCCGTTACCATCATCAGAACTAGTAACACCTCCGTTACCGTCATCAGAACTTGAACTTGAACCATTGTCATCGGCGGAAGATGTAGCTGAGCTTGACTCGGAAGATGATGTTCCGTTATCTGAAGATGCTTCGGAACTGGTTTCAGAGCTAGATTCGGAGCTTGAGGATTCATCACCAACAGATGAGAATGGGTTTGTGCTTGAGCTGGATTCTTCAGATGACTCTGATGAAGCAGTGTCAACGGATGAAGCAGTATCAGATGAAGAAGCAGTGTCAGATGAAGAAGCAGTGTCAGATGAAGAAGCAGTGTCAGATGACGAAGCAGTGTCAACGGATGAAGCAGTATCAGATGATGAAGCAGTATCAGATGATGAAGCAGTGTCAGATGATGAAGCAGTATCAACGGATGAAGCAGTATCAGATGACTCAGAAGATTCTGAACTAGGTCCGGTCGAAGATTCACTTGAACTTGAGACCTCAGAACTAGATTCACTTGTTTCACTAGATGAGCTTTCGCTAGTGACTGGTGGTTCACTGGAAACTTCACTGCTGGAAGATTCTTCAGATGAAGCACTGGATTCACTTGATTCACTTGATTCACTAGAACTTGAACTCTCACTACTCTCAGTACTTGAACTTGAACTTGATTCATCAATTCCTGGAACATCAGGGAATGGTTTACAAACAGCACAAGCAGCAGGTCTGGTTGGGTTAGGTACTGGACCATTATATCTAACAGCATTATTAATTGGGAGGGTTAAACCAATATCACCGAAAGTTGAAGATACAGTAGTAAAACCAGCAGTATAACCAGGACCGATAATAAATCTGGTAGTGAAAGTTAATGGGAAGATACCAGTAGTCAATGATAAAATATTACCATTATATTGAACTCCAGTGATAGGGACTGATAAACCGATGATATTACCACCACCAAAACCAGCAACACGGAAAGTTTGAGTTGACGATAAAGCTTCAGCTCTAATAGTTGATTGTGGAGAACTTAAATAAAACGTTTGATCGGTATCAACACCAAAAGTGAGACCCAAAGCATCAGATGATGCTAACCAAACATTAGAATTTTGACCTACATCGAAACAACCAGAACCTTGAATACCTGAAGTTTGATGATAAACTTGATTAATCAAACAAACAGTACCATCATTGGTAATATCACCAAAAGCACCTTGTAATGAAGCCCCTAAATAAACTTCACCACTAGCACTTCTTTGATTTAATTCGAAAACCATTAACCCTTGATTACTCCAATTTGGAGCTTGAACCAGCATAACAGGTTTAAGGGTAGAACTTATACCACCAAACCACATATCACCAGTATTAACAAAATTATTATACAATAATGAATAAGTTGGAGATACCAAAGTACGAGAAGAATTCAAAGCAAACTCTCCGGAGTTATCAAAAGTTCCTAAAGCATTTGTCATTGATACTTGTAAACCTACAAGAGAATTTTGAGTGGAGATGTAAAAATTCCCATCATTATCAAAATTCCCAGTAAAAGTAGATATAGTGTTATCAATGATTGACCAAGATACTTCGGGGAAGATATGATAATTACCCAATGTAAGGACAATAGTACCACGATCAATACGATCTTCAGTAATGTCTACAGCTGAAGTGGCTGCAAGCAGTAAAGCTAAAGTTACCAAAGTCTTAATACCAAACATTACTTAAGAAATTTAGAAGGACATTTTTCACCTATTTATAAAGAAATTATTCCATTGGGAAGTCCCCATGGTTTGTTTTGAAAAGAATATTGGCAGTTTTCCTAGAAATTAAACTTCTTTGACAGAAAATAACCTTCTTGTAGAACACAATATTCCATTTATGGATAATAGTGGGAATCAATCACAGGCTAAAGGTTAAAAAGGCGAATCTCTGATATTATTTTGCTGGTATTTTTAGCCATTGTCAATATCCACATCCCCATTGAGTAAGAAGAATCGTATTTGGCCTTACGCAATTGTGGAAGAGTATAATCTCGGGGGGGACAATATTTGCGTTTTGGTTGTCAAACAACAAACTTACGGTGATGGTAGCTAACCGTCACAGATACTACATTTACGTCAACTTAAAAGGGTCCAATAACATACAAGAAGAGGTTTGGATGTAAAAACATGGTTTAAGCCCTGAAACAATGAAAAAAATCCAATAGTAAGGCATAATGGGTAAATCAAAAAGTCAAGACAATTGATTTTCTACAAAACTACCGTAAATAGCAAACTTTTATCAGCCATGGTCCAATTATAACTGTGGAAAATCAACCTATTGTTGAGCGATTATCTAATGATTTGCCTTATTTCCAAGTATTCTAGACCTATCTCCTGCAAGAAAAATGGTTTGGAAATGAGAAATTTCCTTTTTAGGATACTAACCTCCCGCATTTGATACATTACGATATTCTGTTTTGGGAATTTACACTTTAAACTTTATTTAGACGAGCTTAACGAATAGACCGTGCTGCCTTATTTAGTTCCAAGCCGAAAGTTTAGATTTGACACCATTATGTTTAGAATGGGTAATTTTGAGTGAAAAATACAATGAAAATGACACACTTCTAAATTTACTCCAATGTTTGATTTAATCAGCGGAAGTAAGGTAGATCACTTAAGATCCCCATCATCAACCCAATGATTTCCGTTCTATAAGTGGTAAAAATAAAAATATCGGTAAAAATATTTACGTCCTTCAACATGTGACAATTCAAATCTCCATATTGTGCGCTTCGTATACAGAAATACGTGTTTAAGGCGAAATATAACTTTAAACCAAAAGTTTATAATTGAAACGGGGCTTAATCACGTGGAAGGTTTTTTTCGTATAATTGAATTGTATTTAACTCAAGGTTTTTTTGGAAAGTATATAATTTGTAAAAATCACCAAATGGGACGAAACTCATTTTTTAGAGTTTGAGAAATTAGGATTGGAATTCCATTAGGGATGTCATATGGAATGGACAGTGAAGATCTGATTAAGGTTCAACCGTAGTAGAGTTGCCTGGGAGACTCTTTGAGGTAGTGGATATTCAACTAGGACATTTAAAAGCATGGTGTGGAGTTAGGAGCGCAATTAAGAGCGGACTTAACTGGGGATTTAAGGTTTTAATTTTCTAAATTATCAAGGTTTTCCAGTATCCTTCTATTTCATTTAAGTTATCCCTTTATCATACTTTTATCATCCCAAGTCATCCAAAATTTTCATAAATCAACTCATCTCATCAACTCATCTCATCACATGACTAAGGCGAACCATTTCACGGGTTTGTTTTTGTTTACTTATCGTGTGAGGCATCGCCTAAAACGTCGGTTTTTTGCACCAATAGGAGTATTTTGGACTCGATACGATTCCCCGTATAAAATCTACGAAATGCCCTCTTGTTCTCTTAATGTTACTTTTCTTCTATATTATAGTTACAGCTATAGCCGCGAGTTTAGATTGGAATGATACCAATGGTGGAGCAAAAGTGTTCTCCCCGATGAAATTGGCTGCTGTATCAAAATGTAGTGGTGCCGATCAGGTGCAAAAAGATGTACTTTTCGGATATCAGGTGATAAAACCGATGCTCATAAAAAGCAGGCTTTGGCAGCTATCAATCTGTTGAAGAATTGGTTAAAGGATTTCCCCCAAAGACAATCATTCAAAGTTACTAATGGTGATGTTGTTGGATATATGTGGGTTGGTGGAATGGTGCAAAATTCCGGTTTCTCAAGTGGTGATGCTATGAACGTTATTTATAATGAAGTTAATGATTATGGTATTCCTGATCTGATTTATATTGAATATGTTGATAGTGATCCTATGAAGACTTTTGGTGTTGCCTTAAATACTGGAGGTTCAGGAAAATTAGGTGAGGTTCAAAAGGCTGTGAGAGCTTGGAGTGAAGGTAAAGCTTATAATGGGAAAACCAAATCTAAGACTTATGCTGGTGAAACCATCTGTTATTTATCTTATGCTAATAGAAAACCTGTTCAAAATGATGGTGAAGCTGGAAATTGTGATTACGTAAGAGTTAAATCCGGTGAGAATGTTGCTACCACTGCTGGAGTTAATGGGGAATCTTTACAAGGATATAATCCTAAAGTTGATTTTGCTACTTTACAAGTTGGTCAACCTATTTGTAAATCTGTTGGAAACTTACAAAACTTTAAGCCAAGTAAAAATTCCGATGGTTCATGTTATTCTTATACTGTAGCTCAAGGTGATACATGTACCCTGATTGGTGCACCTTTCACGTTATCAGCCAGTGATATTAATGGATTTAATGGTAAAACTTATCAATGGTATGGATGTGATGGATTATTGAAAGGTCAAAAGATTTGTTTAAGTTCAGGTGATCCTCCAAGACCAACATCTAATGCCAATGCTGAATGTGGTCCTTTAGCTCCAGGTGATTTATATAATACTGATTGTCCTAATAATGGATGTTGTAGTGAATTTGGATTCTGTGGTACTACTGCTGAGTTCTGTGCCACTAAACAAAGTACCACAGGAGCTCCTGGAACTACTGGATGTTTCTCCAATTGTAATGTTGGAACTTTACCTACCAAAAAAGCTTCTTCTTACAATAGAGTTATTTATTGGATGGATACCAGTGGTGGATTACAATATACTCCATCATCTATCAATTCTAAATACAACCTTGTTCATTATGCATTTGCAACCATTGGTAGTGATTTCTCCATTTCCGTAGGTTCAGGATTCAAAGATTTCCAAAAAATTGCTGCTAAGAAGATTCTTACCCTTGGAGGTGGAGGTGGATCTTCCAGTAATTCTGTGGGGGATATTTTCAAAACCATCATTTCCACTACTGCCAACCAGAAATCTTTTTCTGACAAAGTGGTTAAATTTGTTAATGATAATAACTTAGATGGAGTCAATTTCGATTGGGAATTCCCTACTACTACCACTGAAGGTAAGAGTTATGCTGATTTGATTGCTATGGTTAAAACTGCTTTAAGACCTAAATTAGCTTCAGTATCAATTCCTGCAACTTATGGAGGTATGAAATATTTCCCATTAAAACAATTGGATGCTAGTGTTGATTACTTCCTTTTGATGAATTATGATTACCATGGACAATGGGATTATGGTACCAGTGGTATTGGATGTCATGTTGATAGACAAATGACTGAAGATTCAGTCAAAACCGTGGTCAAGTCAGGTATTGATACCACTAAACTTTATGGAGGTCTTGCTAATTATGCCAGAACTTTCAAATTATCGAAAACTTCTTGTACTACTTATGGATGTTCATTCACTGGACCTAATAGTGGTGCAAGTACTGGGAAAATTACCCAAACTGCAGGAATTATGACAGAAAACGAATTGTTAGCTATTCCAAAAGGTACTAGAAGTAGATCTACCGATAGTGCATCGCATTGTGATATAATGGTATACAATAATGGTCAAGATTGGGCTGCTTGGATGAAAGACACTGAAAGAGAATCTCTTGATAATTGGTACCAAACCATTGGTTTGGGAGGAAGTGCCATGTGGTTGAGTAATTACGATAAAGCGGTTTAGACTAGAATTTATATAGGAGACCAATGATACCCTTATTACTGTACATTACTACGTGATCTCATGTATTCTCTCAAGACGGTATTTGCCGAAGATTCATTTTTAGGTTAGAAAGATGTTTTCCCAAAGGAGATTGCCTCTCAAAACGGTGTTTTCCCGAAGAAGGTTCTGGCCAAGATTACCTTTTTAGGTCAGAACCGTCTCCATTCCCCATGTTACTCTAACCATCTCCAGTCTGGAACCTTCCTGAAGTAAACAAAATTCTGTTCCCAAAGAATCCAAGAAAAAATCAGCATCTAGTTTAGGGTTATACGATGTTTCAATAGCAGCAGCCAAGGCCTTTTGTGTAAATACTGGACCATATGGAGTGGCTCGAATGTTTTTCCCTATAAGTAACATAAAAAGGTCAAGATTGGTTCTATTCAAATCCAAATTCTCTTGGATATAAACCAAAGCCTCCAAGATATTCATAGTACCTGGGGGAAGTAAATCAAATTCGAGCCAATCTTTTGGGACATGTTTCCCTTGAGAGACTAATTTCAAATGATTCACATATGGAGATAAAAAGGTAGGGCCATAAACACCGATGTGACACAAACTGTTGTTGGGAATGGGGGTTTCTTCCTTCAAATTCAAGAATAGATGATAACAATGAGTGATTTTCTTACATATTTCCACTAGCATGTCTTCAATTTTGGTTATAAATTCTTCATCTCTGGAAATTCTTTGACTTGTGAACTTTCTAAGATCCACAAGTTGGTCGTCGTCAATTTTGAAAGGTACAAGGTCTAAAATGAGTTGCATTTGACGATTAGTTAATTTATGAGTTCTGAAAGCAACATCACTAACAATGGATTGTAAGTTTTCAAGATCGGAAGAAGCATCGGCTCTTTTCTGTCTCAACGCTTGCTGGCGAGCTCTCATCTGTATGAGACGCTGACTTCTCTTATCTTCTTTTTTGTTAGAAATCTGAACGGTTGTAGATGGTCTGATAGGTCTCATCACTGCGCGATTAGTAATTTTCGGCGGAGATAGATAAGAGATGTGGCTGACACCGAAGCAATGAGGATGATAGGCAGGCGGGGCTTACCACGGGAAAGCTATGGAGAAAGGGTATGAGAGGTTAAACAGTGGGAGGTCATCTTGTATTTACATTATTAAAGGATCATATTTATGGGTTTGGACTGGTACGTGGCTGAGATAAACACGTGAGTAGATACAAAGTTTAGGGATTTACTGTCTCCAGTAATCCTTCTTAAACAAAACAGCCACTTCTAACTATGGAAATTCATAATAAAATCTTCAATACTATCCAAATTAAACAAATGAGGCAGCAAGAAATTGCCTGAAGGTACACTAGGAGGCATAATTTCTGGTTCTGATAATGTCTCTTCTTCAAAGTTATACCCGTGATTGCCTACATTTTTCAATAATTTATTCAACTGACTCCACCAAAGGATGGAATGCAGGAAAAATTCAGCATTCTTATTATTAATTTTAAGTTTCCATACATAATTCTCTAGAAGTTCAATACATTTGTTGTATTCAGTGGAGTTTTTACTGATCAATGCCAAATAATACCCGAAGATAACGATATAACTAAAACCTACACGAGCGCTGGTGTACCAGAATGTCTGTAAATGTTCAGCTTTTAACTCATTAACAAATCTCAAGATATTTTCAAAAATTATGATACATCTATTGAAGACAATGTCTCTTATACCCATGAATTCCCTATCGACGACTTTTTGTTGGTTCTTGATTTTACTTAAAAGTCGAAGAACTGGTCTTAAAATGGTGATCTGGGCACTGAAATTGGAGATATAGATATTTGGAGCTCCGGAGATTAAACCCCTTTCGATGTTTTGTTCAATCAACAATACCTTTGGTAATTGAGATTCCCAATTGGTCAAATGGATTTGTAAAGGTTTGATCTTATTGAGAATGGATTTAAGTTGAGTCACAGGATCAGAAATCTCTAGATTATCGAAATATTGTTTAGATTTCAATGAACAGAGTTCTTTTAGTATAACATCAGCCAATTTACTTAATTCGATTTTCTCCAAGAATAACTTTATCCCCATAGATTCATCGATTCTACCTTCAAGGGTATTGGTACCACCATTAGCGGAAACTTCAGAATCAGTGAAATCTTTGAATTCATCTAAATCTCCAACTGTCCAATCATCATCATTTATATGGGAAGATTTATCTACTGTAATACAGAACCATTTCTCTTGAACATAAATGGCCCAAGAGATTCTTTTTCTTAAAGACTTTTGCCATTCAGGAATATTATAATTACAAGGATCTCGATTCAACCCTAAACATTGAGCAGCTCCCCATAATGCTGATTGTATTGGCCAACAATTACTAGGATTATCATACTTATCTCTAAAACTTTGATGTTGGATCAATAGCAATCCAGCTTGAATGGTTGAAAGGGTAGGAGTCTTTAATTTCTTATAAAAGATGGTTTCGGCTATCTTTTCCAATTCACTCTGAGAAGGTTGAATTAATCCCGATAAATCAAGAGATAATGACCACCAGTTCAAAGCAAATAAATATAAACATGCTAATAAACAAGGATCTATAAGATTTATATCTTTCTTATAATTTTCAAGGAAATTCTTTTCGGAAATGATAGGGAAAGTACCATGAACGAATCTAAAATATAGTGAAACTAAACCTGGACCTGAATCACCAACAAATTCACTGATTTTCTGAATTTGTTGTTTATCATATTCAACATCTTCAATACTTCCTTCAACTTCCAAGAACAAATCTCCCGCTTGTTTTCTTATCTTACGTTTGATAACGTATCGAGACCCAACGGGATTTAAATCGATTTCTGGATTAGGCAATAAGTCTTTGAAGATAACCCCATCAAACTCATTATTACCTCCAAGATAATAGGTATGTAAAGTTGGAGTTACAACGGGAACTTTTGATTGTTTCGGAGGTTTGGTAGGAGTTGATTCATTCTTCTTTTTCTTCTTCTGTAAAGGAGGTAAATTAAATTCACATTGGAAATTATGAAACTTGCATAAGAAACAAATGGCACTATCATCTTCAAATACACATCTTGATTTCCGTTTCCTGCACGAGTCACAAGGTCTATCGGGTCTACTTAGTTTTGGTTTAGGAGACTCTGACATAATAATGTCCGCGATTTCAACCTTACCATTAAACCTTAAGTTAATAGATTTGGCTCAAAGAAGTTTCAGAGATTGTGGGTTAGAAAAATCCAAACAAACGAAATAAGGCCCGAAGTTTCATAAATACCAGCCATTTAATCCGATAACTTGATCTAATCTATCGATTTACGATATCATGATGAAGGTCGATAAGCGATTCCTAATCTGGATAACTCAATTCCATTTCATTGGATATATCGGATTGGATATATCGGATTATTTGATAGATTACAGCCACAATTTATCTAGTAATAAAATCAACTTTCTCCCCAAATATCGACATTTCAACAAATCACAGACGTCGGAATGGAGGTTGGTGAGATAAGAAATCAGATGCAGCCCATCGGCGGTGTGGTTGATACACGACATTGATTTTTCGCAGCTTTTCTTATCGAGAAAAAACGGTGGTTTATAAAGACCTGGTTCTTCATGAAATATCAACCAAATGAAACTCAACGTTGGACAATATAGAAAGAGATTCACTTCTCTTAAAGCTTGGGAAATTCCTAAACTGCCATCATCTTGTGCTCCACCAGGTGTTTGGACTAATATCGATAATGATGTAACTCCATTTTCTAGAAGAACTTGGACTATTTATACTATTATTGGGTTTTGGGCAAGTGATTATTTGTCTATTACTTCATATGAAGGTCCTTCTTCAACCCTTATTGCTGGTCTTTCTTGGAGAGAAGCTTTAATCAATTCTATTGTAGGAATGATTATTATTGCCATTCCTATGGTATTAAATGGTGCTATTGGTGCCCGTCTACATGTTCCTTTTGCTATTTCTGTTAGAGCTAGTTATGGTTATTACTTTTCTAAATTCCCTATTGTTACTAGATTAGTTACTGCTTTATTTTGGCATTGTATTCAAACTTTTTCTGGTAGTCTTGCTATGTATTGGGTAATTACTGCTATTTGGCCAAGTTTCAATAAGATTCCAAACCATATTCCGGAAAATATTGGTATAACTACTGCTCAAATGGTTGCTCATTTCATTAATTGGACTATTCAATTCCCTTTTATGCTTATCCCTCCACAAAAATTAAAATGGTTTTTCGTGTTTAAAACCATTATTGTTACTGCTGCTTTAGTTGGTGTAGTCGCTGGTATGACTAAGATGAGTGGTAGTGCTGGAGATCTTTTCAAATTACAACCAGAAGTTACAGGTTCTGCTAGATCTTGGTTACATTTAAGTTTATTAATGAGTACTATTGGAGGTTGGGCTACTATGGCTACTAATATTTCTGATTTTACTAGATATGTTCAACTGGGTTCAAAAGCTCAATATTATCAAGTTGCTATTATTCCAACTTGGGCAGTTTTTGTTACTATGATGGCTATTATTGCTTCATCTGCTGGTAAGATAGTTTATGGTCAGTATATGTGGTCACCAATGGATTTTTCTGCTGAATGGATTGCTTCAGGAACTTCCAAAGGTAGAGCTGCTACTTTCTTCTTTTCTTTTAGTTGGGTAGTTGCTATGATTGGTACTAATTTATCAGCCAACATTATTTCTGCTGCTAATGATTTAACTTCTTTATTCCCTAAATATTTCAATATCAGAAGAAGTGCTGCCGTATTAACTTTTATCGCTGGTTGGGTCATGCAACCTTGGAAAATTGTCTTTTCTGCTGGTTCTTTGATTAGTTTTATGGCTGGAGTATCATTATTTTTAGTTCCTATCTTTACTGTTATTATCGTTGATTATTGGATTGTTAAAAAACAAAATATCAATGTCAGTGAATTATATAATCCAAATGGTATTTATCATTATACTTATGGTGTTAATTGGAGAGCTGCTGTTGCTTGGATATGTTCAGTTGCTCCAAATTTACCTGGTTTAGCTGCTTCAGTTAATGCTAAGATTAAATTACCAGTTGGTGCTCAACATTTTGCTGATTTATCTTACTTTTATGGATTCTTCAGTGCTTTTGCAGTGTATTATTTCTTGAATTACTTCTTCCCTCATCATCCAAGTCTTATTGAAGAAACTGTGTTTGCTGATGAAGATATGTTATCTGAAAGTGTTGAAGATGTTCAGGTATCAGTTGTGGGTGATAAACAATTCTCTTAATATATTTATTGGTGTGTTTTCGTTTTCTTATTCTAGAGCTCTGACGGGTATGACTGTACTCTGGAAGTGATCTGGTAGTGCTCTGGTAGAGTGGAGCTCTAATATCTCTCGTTTGTTCTGGTTTGTTCTGATTTGTCCTGGACGTCTTATGGGTGTGCTACTTGCTCCAGCTGTGCTACCTTCTCCACCTGTGCTATATCTTCCCTAGTTATGCCATTCATGAACAAATTCATCAGGATCCCTTCCTTCACAGTGCTCCAATCAAAAAATTCTATCTCCATATATTAATCCTACACTAAAGAGTCTTGATCTTTTCCTCATATTCTTCCTTAGAAAGTCTGCTGAAAGCTAATCTCTTATAAACATATTCCCCAGCTCTGATAGGCTTATATTTAGGTCCTTCTTCTCCAACACAAGTATATAATGGTTCAATCATAGTATCATATTGAGTACCAATGAATACTGGAATAGAATATCTCTCATTACCAGTTAAGTTGAGAACTCTATGAACAGTAGAAATGAAAACATCATTAGACCATCTAGCTAACATATCACCGATGTTAATGACAAAAGTTCCATCAATTGGAGGGGCTTGAATCCATTCTCCTCTATTATTTAAAACTTGTAAAGCAGGAACCTTCCCTTGATATAAAATAGTGAAACATTCAATGTCAGTATGAGCTCCAATACCTAAGATATTCTTATCATTTGAAGCTTGAGGGAAATAATGTAAAACTCTACCAATGGCACCAGGAGTTTGGAAAAGATTATCAAAGTAAGTTTCAGGTAAATCTAAAGCTAATGCGAATAATTTTACTAATCTTCTAGCTAATATCAAAACGTGACCATAGTATTCAGCAACAGCGGTTTGTAAAGCTGGAGCTTTAGCTGGCCAAACATTAGGACCGGCCATAACGTCCTTTTCAGCATTCTTTTCATATTCTTCAACCTCTTCTGTAGTCTTGATAGGATCAAGTTTAGCTTCATAACCCCAATTGAATTGTTCATTCAAATCTGGTCTTTTACCTTCTTCGGTATTGTTATCACCACATGATTCGTATCCACGGAAATGTTTAGATTTGGAGAAATGAATTTCGTTCTTATCTTCCTTTGGTAATTCAAAGAAAGTTTTAGCTCCTCCTAATAACTTATCAATACTTTCTTGAGGAACTCCGTGGTCTTTGATATAAAAGAAACCAACAGTTTTACAAGCGTATTTTAAATCTTTGATTAACAGTTCCTTATCTTGATTTAAAGAAATAACTGGGATTTCAGAGAAGTCAGCTTTTCTAACTTCTTCATCAACAACTTCTCTTTTTCTTCCACTGAAGGATAAAAAGTCTTTCTTATTTTCAACAACTGTAGTACTCATGGGGATGTATTTGTTGAAAATCTTAGATACTACGGGGTTTTTTTATAATGTTAGAACCTTGCAAACGTAAGATTCCGCATAATCACGGAAATGAGGGTTTCCCCTACGGGCAATTGTGGCCGATGGCTGCTGCGTTTTTTTTGCAGCTATGAAATCACCGCGATAAGCGAATGGATAAATTGATCTGGAGATTGATTTGGTAATTTTGGGGATTAAGAACAATTATGAAGCTTGAGAATGCAAAGCCAACGGGTTTTGAATTACCTGTGGGCAGAACTGCCTTGATCATGATTGATATGCAACGTGATTTTGTTGAAAAAGGTGGATATGGCTATTTACAATGTAATTCCGATGAAGTATTTAGTCAAGTTTCTAATATAATTGAACCTTGTAAGAAGGTTTTAAAAGCTGCTAGAACCTTGGGTATCACGTTGATTCATACTAGAGAAGGTCATGAACGGGATTTAAGAGATTTACCTCCATCAAAGAAATTGAGACAATATCATGCCAATCCTAAAAATTTCCCTTTGTTAATTGGTGATGATGGACCTATGGGGAAATTATTGGTCAGAGGCGAATATGGACACGATATAATAGATGCTCTCAAACCTTTACCTCATGAAATAGTCGTGGACAAACCAGGTAAGGGAACGTTCTTCAATACTGATATCCATCAAATTTTAGTCACTAGAGGTTTGACTCATATCCTTTTATGTGGTGTAACTACTGAATGTTGTGTTGCTACTACTTTCAGAGAGGCCAATGATCATGGGTTTGAATGCTGTACTTTGGTCGATTGTACCAATGGATTCAATGATAATATTGTTACTGAATCATTGAATATGTTTTGTGCTTATGATGGGTTGTTAGGGTACATTGGTAATGGTAAGGAGTTAGTAGGTTTAGCTGAAGCAGGGAAAAGTTTATCTGCCGATGTTGAAGGGTCAGAGATGTTCAAGATTTTGAACGATAATGAGTATAAAAACACCTTTTATGATGTACCCTTCTCCACTAGAGGTTTCCAAGGAGATTCCAACTTAGTTAAGAGTATTTTGGCCAAAGGAGGAAAACTCACTGAAAATGGAGTATTCACCTTGGCTGTAGATAATGGAGACATTGAAACCGATAAGATAGCCTTCACACCTTCTTCTGGTATGATGTCATTACATAACTCCGACCATTCTTTATACTCATCAGTATGTGTTCTCGCCAATACCATTGAAGAGGCAAAATATGTCTTCGTTAATGAAAGATGGTTCGACGAAGACGATGAAATTTCCAAACATCATTACGAGTACCCTATCAAACATATAGATTATAGAGGAGCCCCCGTTCAATACAGTTCACAAATTGGTGATTTCAAAGGTCAAGCTGTGGACTTTGATTGGTCATTATTCGATAGTGTCTATGATCATAAGAATTTAATCAAGTCACATGACCAAACACGTGATCTTCTTATCAAAAGAAGAAAAATCATTAATCAATTTCAACCAGTCGGAGCTCCTAAGGTGTTGATAGTTCCAGCAACCATCAAATACACCACAATCTGTAGATTACTTGGATTCCCATCTATTATAGTCAAAGATAAAATGTTTATCTCAGAGTTTGGACTCGATGGAATGCTTTTAGATATCACCAAAAAATGTATTTAGCACTATTAAATATTCACTACACACTATTATAAATCACTTTTTTCTTCGCTTTCATCCTTAAGGGATACTTGCTTTTGTTCTTCTCTAAAGAAACTAATAACACAAGGTAAAGCAACGACTAAAGTACCACAAGTTAAACCCCAATTCATAGCGAATTGAGTCATGGCTGGAGTTTTAATGGCATTGACTTTCCAAGCCATAGCACCACCAACACATTGAAGGGTTTTATAAGTACCGACGAGAATAGCTGATTCTGAAGGAGTTTTAGCAAAAACACCAATCATCCAATAACAGTAACTTTGGAATAAAGCATCATACATACCATAGAAGAAGTATAAGAACATTGGTCCGATATAGTTATCACCTTTGAAATCAATATCTTGTTTTAAACCTAAAGCGATTCTAGCATCACTCCAGACTTGGAATTTATAACCACCTCCCCAGATAACCATGGCGGTGACGAATAAGATACCCCAACCAACGACAACTCTGACATTTCTCTTGAAATATTTAAGATCAAGAATCATACCAATAAGGAAACCACCTAACATTTGAGCAATCCAATATAAGGAAGAGTTTAAAGCTCTGGTTCTGATATTGAAAGTAAGGGCATTAACGTAATTTTGTTGATAAGCATAGAAGACATTGGCATTGAAGAACATTGGTAAGATACAAAGTAATCTCCAGTTCATTAAAGTTTTGATAGTGAAAACAGCAGTATCTTTAAGTTTACTGAAAGATAAAAATTCTTTATGTTGTTGATTGATTTTACTGACTCTTTCACCATGGAACTTAGAACTTAATTGAGAAGGATTACAAATGAATAAACCACCAACGACCCAACCAACAAGCATAATAACCATATAAGCAATATAAGTGGAATCATTAACAGTACCACTAGTACTATTATAGTTAAGACCGAAAGTAGCTAAAGCACCAATACCACCACCAAGGTTGAAAACGACCCAGAATAAAGCAATAGCTCTACCTCTAGCTTCTTCTTTAACATAAGAAGTCATAATCATACCTTGAGGAAGCCATAAAAGATTAGCACAGAAACCTAAGATAGCACCGGAAGCAATAACAAAAGCACCATTTTGTCTGTGGTTATAGTTAAGTAAACCACCACTGTAAAGAGCATAAGCCCAAGAACCAAGAGCTAAACTCCATTTTGGACCGATTAAAGTGACTAAAGGACCACAGATGAAAACACCGGTAGCAGCCCCAGTAGATAATAAAGCAACACTGGCATTAGCAGCAATAGTTGGATCAACTTGACCTGAACCTCCCATACCTGATAAAGCATTATACATACCAGGACAACAGAAAGCTACAAAGGAAATTAACCAAACTTGAACCCAAGGTCTATTGATGAACTTAAAAATAGATCTTTGTTCTGGGATTTCTGGTTCGAAATCGGTTTCAACACTATCGTTGTTGACAACGGTATCGTTAATAACATCTATATCGTTCTTACTACTCATTTTTGCTTAATAAATTTGATATTAAAGGTATTGAAAATGTGACATAATTTATATGTGAGAGTTCCTTTGTCGCGCGATTAGATACGATAAAAAACGGCGAAATCATCCGAGATGACTTTAAATGTGGAGAGATATGATAGGGAAATGTATGACTTGTGGATGGAAATCGATGGCGGTCCAAGATATTTACAGATAAGGGAAATAATACTGAAGCACAGTCGGAGTTTTACAAGCGTCGGTTGGGGTCAATGACGTTGTAGGTGTTTTAGTACTATAGATGCCAATGGAATTGCGAACGATGGAATCTCTGATAAGCCTGTATAGAGTGGTCGAGAGGCGTTCCAACGTTTTTTAAGATGGTTTCCATGTTTACAATGGGATGTTATTCGGATAGAAGTTATTTATTGATATTTACATATTTTGCAATGCTGTAGAAGCTGGGTCAAGCACGATTTCAGTAGGGAACTTGATATTTGATTGGACCAAATTTTCGAAAAAATAGTCTTTGTATGGTTTCAAAGAGAATAATGACCCGCTTAAGATCAAGGTAGTATTATCGTCAACTATGTTACAGAAAGGTTTGATGATATCCACTAAACTTTGACTTTCTTTAATGAGAATCTCTTTGGCTACCACCTCACTTCCATCATCATTCTCTAATTCTTCGAAAATGATCTTGGTTAATGAAGCTATTTGTTTTCTACTATCACCCAAAATGGAAGAATCTTCGAATTTCTTCAAAGCTGTTAAGAACTCTGACAAGTTGGTAGTATGGTGACCTACGATTTGATGTAAAACTTGTTTGTGAATAGATTTCATTTGATATTGGGGTTTGAAAGGTTTGATGACGTTATATTCATCAATATGTTTCAATGTGGAAACAATCAATTCTCTGCCTATAGAATAACCACCACCATTATCACCAAAATGTGGTCCCCAACCTCCAGATCTACCTAAGAATTTCAATTCCGTTCCTCTTTCAAAACACATAGATGATGAACCTGTTCCAGCTATAAGTGTAATATAATATTTACTGTGGATCGAACATGCCAATGGTAATAAGAAAGCATCACTCACTAAATCCACAGTGGAACTTTGATAACATTGTTTAAAAAGCTTCTTTGTATGATCCAATTTCTCTTTCAGTACAGACAGAGCACCAGCTAATCCTATATTAATGTGCTTAACTTGTTGTAAAGTCAAAACATCTTTATATTGAAGATTTCTCTTGTTTAAAGCATCTTCAATGGCAGATTTGACTGTATCTACCACAGCTTCCAGGGATAAAGTAAACACATTGGAAGATCCACTAAGACCTTTGAACTGAACATCCTTATTGCCTAGTATTACAGCAGTCTTAGTACCACCACCATCAACTACAATATTCCAATCCATATCTTTGTTGAAGATAGTTGTATGACCTCAAAGTGATATAAGTTACTTTGAATTTCGCAGTCGGTTTTTCGCGGAGGTCGATAACGTACATTCGCCGAAACCTCCCAGGTGATGCAACTGTAACATTGAGGTCTGATCAGAGGTTTAAATATTTTCTGGTTTCCAAGAATATTAACATCATAATGACAATTGAAGACTTTTCTGGTATAGGGACTGAACAGAGAAACCCAAAGACCAGTCACATTGACAGTTTGTCAACTGACAGACTTTTAAAGTTAATGAATGAGGAAGATACCGGAGTTATCGAACAAGTATCTAAAGTTATACCTATAATTTGTGATGTGGTAGATGACTTAGCTCCTAAGATTAAAGCTGGTGGAAGATTATTTTACTTGGGAGCAGGAACTAGTGGAAGATTAGGAGTTTTAGATGCTTCAGAAATCTTACCTACTTATTCAGCACCTGAAGGACAATTTGTTGGTTTGATAGCTGGTGGTGATGTAGCATTAAGAAAAGCTCAAGAATTCTCCGAAGATAGTGAAACTGCTGCTGCTGAAGATTTAGCTCCTTTCAATGTTACTCAATTAGATACTATTATTGGGATTGCTTCTTCTGGTAGAACTCCTTATGTTATGGGAGCTTTGAAATATGGTCAAAGTATTGGTGTCAAAACTATTGGTTTAGCTTGTGTTCTGAATAGTCCAATGGAAAAACATAGTGATTTTATGATCAGTTGTGTTACTGGTCCTGAAATTGTTACTGGAAGTACTAGAATGAAGGCCGGTACCGCCACCAAATTAATCCTTAATATGATAAGTACCAGTGTTATGATTAAAATAGGTAAGACTTATGGTAATTTGATGGTAGATTTACAACCAAGTAACATCAAGTTACAAGACAGAACTCGTAGAATCTTCAAAGCTGTCGTTCCAGGGCAACTTAGTGATGATGATATCGATAACCTTATTAAAAAATGTGGATCTTTGAAAACTGCTATTGTAGTTGGAAAAACCGGTATTGATATAGAGGAAGCTAAAACTTTGATCGATAAGAATGGAGGTAATTTACGTCAAGCCTTGGATTCTATTGAAGATAATGTTTCTGAAGCTTCTAGTTCAGCTAATGGATCAGTAGCTTCAGATATTTCAAGTCCTCCAGCCAAAATACCCGATTTCAGTGACTATAATTTGGCTGTGGATATAGTTAATGATGAATGTGAAGTTGCCTTGTTCAACAAATCAGTTTCTTATTGTAAAAAAGGAGCTTTCAAAGGTGATTTCAAAAACTTACTTGTACAGTTATTAGTTGATGCTGTCACATCATATGATGGACAAGTGTTAAAGATCAACGGAGTTAGAATTGGTAGTAACAATGATTTTGACTTAAAAGAAGAAGATTTGAAAGGGTTAGTGGATTATAAAAGTTTAGAGTATGTAAAAGGTACACCAAAGTTCTGTGACATGATTAGATTTTTCCAATAAATACTTATAAAGGTTCACTTATGGACTTCATCATCTCTGTTGTAAAACCATTAAGTTCGAAGGTATCGGGATCAAACACATCTGCTGCCCAAAGTCGACTATAATCGGCTACTCCATTGTCTTGAGGTGATGTGTTGGTCATAGGGATGAAACCATTCATTAATTCGAGAATATCGGGAGCATTCAAGTTATGGGGGAGATTTACCGTGTCCATATTAATTTTAGCTCTATCGATTCCTTCTTTCAATGATTGGATGGCTACGAAACTGGGGAGAAACGGCGAAGTTATGCATCGCAAAAGTATGGCGTGGGATTCTTCGGCTTTGGAAATGAGGAGTTTTTCATTGGTCTTATAGCCATATTTGGAACTGATGGAAATAATTTTTAAAAGCAATGCCGTGGCGGTAACAAAGATCGTGGGGTAAAACACCGGGCCGATTTTGATTAATCTTCGTATATCTTCATCCATTATTAACATATCAATGATATCAATAGCAGTGTTCTCTCCCTTATAGATGATTTCATTCATTTCCAGTTTAGGAATGTTAGCATTCAATGCTTGGATATAAAGAAACATTTTGGTGAAATGGAATGTTAGTAACAAAGGTTTAGCTGATGATGTCTCTAATGATGTAAATAATTTCCCTATCCATTCGGCTAACCATTGATTTAATTTATTAGACCATTCGAGAATCTTATCATCATTGATATTATTGGACGACGTCGACAAATTGTCATGGAAAATCATAATCATAGTACAAAGCTCAACATTGGCTCGTAGTTTGTAAACTTTAGAATCACTATGGGATGAGAAAATGGCATCTAAATAATGTGGTAAGAAATAATCTCTTCTTTTAGCCATATGATTCCTAATGTTTACATATTCTGAACTGGTATAAGAAATTTGTAGTCTTCTCTCAATGATATAACTAGCCAAGTTGAAAGCAAACGCAGCCTTCCTCTTTTGTTGGGATAAATTGAGTTTGTCTAAAATAGGCGGATTCAATCTTCCAGCCAAATCACTGGCAATTAATGAACATTTGGCCCCCAAATCATTCCCCAACCATGCTGATGTGATAATACACCCTAAGAGATCATAAAGGGTCTTATCAAAATTGAAAGGGATTCCTTGGTCATCGAAAATCTTGTTTGGTGATAATTTCAAAACACATGCCTGTAAGTTATCTATCAGAAGCCCGAAATATTGCTCAAAGTCCGTTAAGTATAAAGACGATACAGATATAACCGCCAAATACAATAACGGTGAGGTATCTTTCATATGGTGGGAGATTCGAGGAATATAATCAAATATAAATATTGGTAAATATCTTGATAAACTATCTTGGAAGAAAGCAAGACATTTCTGTTCATCATTGGCGGGAATATAAAAATCAAATGAGAATAACGATTCCCCTTGCTCTAGGTTGGGTACATTAGGATTATTACCTTTTAAAATGGCGAATAACTGTTCGATGTTATCATCGATTTTCTGAAGTCTCAAATCTGTTTCCTTTTTCCATTGAAAATCATCCTTTCGACGAAGTCCAAAGACACATTCCACATTAAGTTCGATACATTTTTGACATGCTTTGGCACCGGGGTTCAGTTGACACTTGATTTTTTGGTGTCTGCAACGTACACAAGCTTTGTTTCTCTTATCTGACATTTATGATTCGCGCACACGAAACTTGGGTTTTCACTTGGAAGTCCTTACCGGCGATAAAAAAAGAAAGAATTTGTTACCGATGGTTAAAGTGCAGAATGTTAGCATGTAAACCTTGAGGAGTGTATGTGTTTATCTGGAATACCCGATAAAAGAAAATTTAAAGCCCCTGATTCACTGATAAGCACAGGTTATGTTACTTATTGGTTGATTACGGTCGGGGAATTTGAAATTTACCTGAAAAATGGGGACATTTCCGGTGCCTTTTGCGTTTAAGGTTACCATGGTCAAATAAAACACCATAGAAAAATCTATTTTTGGGTATAAGCCCGGTAAAAAGGTAACTATACCCTCGAATTTTTGGTGAGGCTAAACTTTAAAATTAAAATTAACTTTTTATTGACACCAATAGAGATTTGACGTAATGGATAGCTGTCAAAGACCTTGAATGTTGTATAGGTATTGGTTATGAAGTGTAATAATGAAAGGTAACATTTGGGCTTGGTTGGTTCAGTAAGACCCTGGATCCCCCACGGTTAAATTTCAGACGCACCGGATATGAGGATTTACATAACTTGCGTTGTGTCCGACAATTTTGCGATTTGACGTATTGAACCTGTAAACTCTATTCTCACAATACATAAGGTTTATTAACAACGATTACGATAAAGAGCCGTACTACTGGCTGGTGTATTGTGGATTCTTGATAAGAACCTCCACACATTTTTTTATATAAGTGACCTAAAAATGGACTAATGTTAAACATTGGGCCATGGAAAAAGATTCTAATCCAATTACTAACGTAACCAGTATTACTAGTAATACTAACCGTTTAGAAGCTGATGCACATCAAGTTGATCTTAATGCTGTAACTTCTAATGTCATTTCCATAGGAGCTGTTGGTGAAGCTCTTACTTCTTCCCAAAAGTTCATTATCTTAAGAAGACTTAATTATGAAAATCTTAATAGTTTTGATGACTTACCTGTAGGAGCAACTTTCATGATTGAAAAAGTTCAAACTATGGATGAAGAGGAAGCCATCCTGGTGTTGAAAGATGCTTTGGAGGAATTTCAAGATGATCCTAATTTTCCTATGGAAACCTATGATTTGATTGAAAAGTTAATTGCTGGTGAGTCTCAAGGAATCAAAGGACAATTGAACACTTCATTCAAAGATAAGGAAGAATATGTTCATGATGTTCACGAAAAAGATGACAGTTCATCATTAGAACATCTGGATGTCAATTTGAATGAAGTCTTTGACCGTAATTTCCAATTGAGATTGGAAGCAGCATTAATTGCTTATTGGTCTCCTTATCCTGAAGTTAGAGCTGTGACTGATTGTTTTGATGATCCAAATGTTGAGTGTGAAACTTTGAGAGTTTATATCTTAGGTCTTATTTGGGTAGGTATTGGTAGTTTTGTCAATCAGTTCTTTAGTGAAAGACAACCCTCAATCACATTGGGCTCTTCGGTTGTCCAATTGTTCTTATATCCTTGTGGAACATTCTTGGCTGCAGTTTTGCCAAAATGGAAATTTACTGTTTGGGGTACTACGTTTGATTTGAACCCTGGTCCTTGGACTTCAAAGGAACAAATGTTGACTACCCTTTTCTATTCAGTTTCTGGTGGTTCTCCTTATGTTTCTTCTAACATTCATGTTCAAAAGATGCCTATGTATTATAATAACCAATGGGCTGATTGGGGATATCAAATTTTATTGATGTTATCTAATAATTTCTTGGGTTTTGGATTAGCTGGTGTTATGAGAAAATTTGCAGTTTATCCTGCAAGAGCAGTTTGGCCAACTTTGTTACCAACTTTGGCATTGAATGCTTCTTTAACCAAACCTGAAAAGAAAGAAAACATCAATGGATGGAAGATCTCAAGATTTGCTTTCCTCTGGACTGTATCAGGGGCTTCTTTCCTTTATTTTTGGTTCCCTAATTATTTGATGCAATTTTTATCTACATTTAATTGGATGACTTGGATCGCTCCTAACAACAGACCCTTGGCTGAGGTCACTGGTTCTTTGGGAGGGTTGGGTTTGAACCCTTTCCCATCATTTGATTGGAATGTTTTAAATAATGCTTCTTTAGCCTATCCCTTCTATACTCAAGTTAGTATGTATATTGGTTCTTTCCTTGGATTTTTAAGTATTATCGGTATCTATTACAACAACCATTTATGGACTGGTTACATGCCTATCAATTCCAATAACTTATTCACTAATGAAGGTGTTACATATGATGTCAAAGCTGTGGTCAACGAGAAAAGTTTATTTGACGAGAAGAAATACCAATTGATTGGCCCCCCTTATTATACTGCTGCTAACTTGGTAGTCTATGGTGCTTTCTTTGCCATCTACCCTTTTGCTTTTATCTATGAAGTTATCGCTAATTATAAGCCAATGTATTTTGCCTTAAAACAATTATACAAATCGTTCAGGAACATTAGAAGATCTAACTTTGAAGGCTTCAATGATCCTCATAGTAGAATGATGTCTCAATATAAGGAAGTTCCCGATTGGTGGTTTGGAATTGTGTTGGTCATTTCATTGGTTTTGGCTATCATTTGTGTCAAAGTTTATCCAGCAGAGACTCCAGTATGGGGTATTTTCTTCGCCCTTGCTATCAACTTTGTGTTCTTGATTCCCTTGACTTCAATTTATGCCACTACAGGTTTCTCTTTTGGTCTTAATGTATTGGTAGAATTGATTGTTGGTTATGCTATCCCAGGTAATGGTTTGGCCTTGAACTTTATCAAAGCTTTCGGTTATAACATTACAGGTCAAGCTGAAAATTATATTACTGATCAGAAAATGGCTCATTATGCTAAAATTCCTCCAAGAGCTTTGTTCAGGAATCAAATCTTATCGGTCTTTGTGTCTTCTTTCATCTTCTTGGCTGTGATCAACTTTCAAATCAATAGTATTGAAGATTATTGTTCTCCAACTCAACCACAAAAGTTTGTTTGTCCAGGGGTCAGAACTTTCTATAGTGCCTCTATCACTTGGGGTGTTATTGGTCCAAAGAAGGTTTTTGGAGGTTTATATCCAATCTTACAATATTGTTTCTTAATCGGTGCTTTATTACCAATCCCATGTATCTTGTTCAAGAAATACGGTCCAAAATCTGTAGCCAAATACTTCCAACCAACACTTATTATGGGTGGATTCTTAAATTTTGCTCCTAATAACTTGTCTTACTTAACTGGAGGTCTTTATTTAGGTTGGGCTTTTATGTACTATGTAAGAAGACGTTACTTAACCTGGTGGGAAAAATATAATTATGTGTTATCAGGGTCTTTAAGTGCTGGGGTAGCCTTTTCTTCCATCATTATATTCTTTGCTGTACAATATCATGATAAATCCATCAGTTGGTGGGGTAATGATGTCATGTATGAAGGAATGGATTATTATGCCAGAACTGTTGGAAGATTAAATGCTACAGAATCTGCTCCTGATGGATATTTCGGTATAAGAAAAGGACATTACCCATAGAATTAATATAACGTTCTTCGTTCTTTCTTTGTTCTTTCTTTCTATGCTCTTTTTGCTGGGCTCAAAAGCTTTACCTTCTCTTTCCATGTGATCCTATCTTCTGATATGAACTCTGAAGACAATTCTTTGTAACCTTAATTACAGTTTACAAGCGATAATACTTTAACTGTAAAGTTAGATTAAGTTAAGGTTGACACATAGAGGCGTAGAGGAACTCCCACCAATTGCGCCAGGCGGGTTGATAAGCTGTGGCTTCTATGTAGTGTAAGGGTGGGTTGGAGATGATTGATGTCATTATCCGTAAAAGAGTAAGTTGCGTATCTATTTCAACAAATGTTCACCACCTTTGGGGGCAGCTTTGATTTTTTCTCCAACTTCGGAAGTCCAGAAGGTTCCGTTAGGATACAAGTATTTTTCAATTGCTCCATCAACGTATCCAATGGAATAACCAGGGTCCAAAGGAGTCACGTAATGGGCATTTTTGATAACTGAAGGATGGGCAAGATTTTCTCTATAACTTTCTGCTGCTTCAAGCATTGATTTACGTCCACTGATAGCAATATAATCAATGGTACTCAAATGGGAAGTTAATTCAGTTAATCCCATAGCTCCATTATGAGGAACACAAGGAATATTGAACTTGAGGGCCATTAACATCACAGCTAAACATTCATTAACACCTCCCAATCTCACAGCATCAATTTGGCACACATCAATGGCATCAGCTTGTAAGAGTTGTTTGAAAATCACTCTATTAGCAGCCATTTCTCCGGTAGCAACCCCAACTCCGTAAGGTTTCAAAGCTTTCCTGATAGTAGCATGACCCAAAATATCATCAGGACTTGTTGGCTCTTCAATGAATACTGGTTTGAACTGAACAAGTTCTTTCATCCATTCAATGGCTTCAGGTACTGACCATACTTGATTGGCATCAATCATGATTTGATATTGATCATCATATCCAATAATATCTCTTACTGCTTTCAATCTTTGTTTGTCTTCTTCCAAATCCTTACCAACTTTAAATTTAAAAATCTTGAATCCACTGTCAATGGTTTCTTGCAATACTTGTTTCATCTTTTCTCCCAGGAATGCTAACCAACCAGCTGATGTTGTATAAGCAGGAACAGCTACGTTATCAAAAGCTTCTTTAACACGATCTTCTTTACCTACATGGGTTTTTTTCAACATGGCAATGGCTTCTTCAGGTGTAATGACATCGGTGATGTAACGGAAGTCAATACATCTGACTATTTCTTCAGGCAGCATCTCACTAACTAATTGCCATACTGGCATATTCTTGGTCTTGGCCCATAAATCCCAAATCCCATTTATAACTGCAGCTGTAGCTAAATGAGTAACACCCTTTTCCGGGCCGATCCAACGATATTGGGAATCAGAAACCATATATCTCCAAGTAACTCCCATATTTTCTACTAAAGATTTGAGACTTTTACCCACAACTCTGTCAGCGAATACTTCAATAGCTCCACAAACCAATTCAGAACCTCTCCCATTACTGAAAGCCATACCTTCACCAATGTAATCTGATGAAGTAAATAATTGAAGATAGGGGTGAGAACCATTGGTTCCAACATGCATGGCGTCGGATCCAATACCATCTAAGCTTGTTGGAAATCTAATGTCATGGACCTTATATCCGGTAATAATAATATCTTCTTGCATAGTCATCTATTGTGCCGAGTATAGAAAAAATCTCAGAATCTCCACCATTTTATAGTTAAACCAATCTGCGGCTACCCCAGATTTCATTTTGCGGATTCCGCGCGGCCATCTCGACTCATTATTCACCCACCTTGCCCGCCAGGTGGGGTGAGATGGGGGACGAAGAAGTCGATATAAATTCTAAGCAATCGACATAATTTTTTTTTCCCCCAACAACAATAATTATTCAAAATGGGATATCCTGATAACTTCGAAGGTTTTGCAGTTACTGATACTGCACAATGGAATACAGTTAAGAAAATCGACTTTACCCCAAAGCCTTTTGGTCCAAAAGATATAGATATCAAGATCAAAGCTTGTGGGGTTTGTGGTAGTGATGTCCATTGTGTTACTGGAGGTTGGGCTCAACCTGATTTACCAGTCATTCCTGGTCATGAAATCGTTGGAGAAGTTGTAAGAGTAGGTGATGGAGTTGAAAATGGTTTCAAAGTAGGTGATCGTGTTGGAGTTGGTGCTCAAGCTTGGGCCTGTTTGGAATGTGAAACTTGTAAAGATGAAAATGAAACTTATTGTCCAGATTGGGTTGACACTTACAATGATAAATATCCTGATGGTTCTAAATCTTGGGGTGGTTACTCTTCCCATGTTAGAATTCATGAACATTTTGTGTTCCCTATTCCAGAAGCTTTAGAAAGTAACGATGTGGCTCCAATGTTATGTGCTGGTATTACTACTTATTCTCCTTTGGTTAGAAATGGTGTAGGTCCAGGTTCAAATGTTGGGATCATTGGTATTGGTGGTTTAGGTCATTTTGCCATTATGTTTGCTAAAGCTTTAGGTGCTAATGTTTATACTTTTTCTAGAACTAATAGTAAAAAAGATGATGCTATTGAATTAGGAACTGATCATTTCATTGCTACTTTTGAAGATAAAGATTGGTCTTCTAAATATGCCAGAAAACTTGATATTATCATCTCATGTGGTAATTCTTCAAAGAATTTCGATTTAGATGGTTATCTTAAATGTCTTAAAGTTCATGGTAAATTAATCAGTGTTGGTTTACCAGAAGAACCTTTCACTGTTAGTCCAGGAGATTTCATCAAGAATGGAACTTTACTTGGATCTTCACATTTAGGAAGTAGAAGAGAAATGTTAGAAATGCTTGATTTGGCTGCTAAAAATGGTATTAAAGCCTGGCACGAAGATTTAAAGGTGGGGGAGAAAGGAATTGGAGAAGCATTGGAAAGATGTCATAACAATGATGTGAAATATAGATTTGTCTTAACCGATTATGATAAAGCTTTCAATTAAATAAACGTTCTTCGTTAAAAACTCTCTGATTGCTATTTTGGGAAATGTCCCCATTTGCGAGTTGCTGTTTTTTTTCAAAGACCCACTTTTTTGGGTGGGGGATCTTGGATTTCCGTTTTGAGAATCTCAACTGATGAGGGATCGATTAGTGGGGTGTCATTTTAGCTTCATTTGAGAAGTTGGGGTAATGGGTAATAGCGTTGACTCGGGTGGGTTTCCTGGATTAATGGTGGACTGGGTGGGATGTAAGGTGTGATGTAAGGTGGGATGGGTGGGTTCTATTCCGTTAGTGGGTGAGGTTTTCTCTCTAATCATATATAAACTGGCGTCAAGAATTTTCACCATTAATGACGCTTCCTCCCACTGGTGTTTACACCCCACTCCCAACTTTCTTCAAAGCTGATGATGATTATTCCCTTGATATCGATACTCAACTCAAACATGCTGATTACATCCATCAAGCTGGTGTTTCGGGGGTGCTTATTGGTGGCTCCAATGGTGAAGCTGTGAATCTCACTAAGAAAGAAAGACATTCCATTGTCAAAGCTGTTAGAGAACGAGTTGATGACTCCTTTGTCATTCTCGCTGGTACTGTAGGGCAATCCATTAGTGATGTTGTAACTGATATTTCGGAATTGAAGGCATTGGGTGCAAATTATGCGGTGATTTTAGTACCAGGGTATTTTGCCAATTTGACCAACCAACAGGGTCTTATTGACTGGTTCACTGCCATCGCTGATAAATCACTACTTCCTATCATTATCTATAACTATCCTGGAGTTCAAAATGGTATAGATTTAACCTTTGATAGTTATATCACATTATCTCAACATCCTAACATTGTTGGCTGCAAACTTACCCATTACAATTTCCCTCTTTATACCCTTCTTGGACAATCGCAACAGTTGAAGGATAACAACTTCAGGGTATTAGCTGGTGTAGGTCAAGTATTTCTTCCTGGACTCTCAGTTGGGGTCGAAGGATGTATCGATGGATTATCAAATGTGTTCCCTAAATGTATGGTCCAAATTTGGAACTTATACTCCCAAGGAAAGCTTGAAGAAGCTCAAAAATTACAAGCTTTGGTCACTAAGGTCAATGAAATGACAGCCGTTTTGAACCTTTTAGGATTGAAATATGCCATCAAACATATCTTAGGTGTTGGGGAAGTTCATGGTAGACCACCTTTGAACCAACCTATTGATTTAAAAGTTTGGGAGAAATATTTGCCTGATTTTAATGAACTTTGGGCCATAGAGAAGTCTTTGTAGACCTCCAGATATAGAGAAGTCTTTGTAGCTTTAACCTCCAGATATAGATTATATACATACTTTTCCTACGAAAACATATCTTTACAAAACACCGTACTCGACCCAAGACTCCTATTAATACAATTTTTCAATAACTTGGCGTGTTCCCTGGCTATCTCTGATGAGTCTTTGGCATATTTGGATTGGAATAGTCTTAACAATCCCACAGTATTCTCTCTTCCTGGGACTTTATCTATAGCCCTGGCGAAAATATCGATATCTTCGTATACGTTTTCTTTGGTGAACTCCTTACCTGTAAGCATACAAAGTTCATATTTGACTCTATTCAAGTAGGCATGACCATCCTCTTTGCCGTTAATGTGATCTCCACTCTCACTAGTCCATTTCAAAGCATGAGATTCAGGTCCACAATGGAAATAACACCAGCACCAAAGTATTACTAACATGTGAGTAATCATTTGTTTCCTATAAAGACAGATGTCATCGTTAGGGTTATAGATGAAGGAGATACTGTTCTCTCCACCAAATAGGATGTTAGCAAAGTACGAGTATATCAAGATGATCCCTCTTTTACCTTGGAAACTGTTAGCCCAGTCAGCTACCCTTGCTGTGACCACATCTAGTTCCTTTTCGTGAATTTTAACACTCATTCTACTCAGAGCTCCGGCAAAAACCATGAAATCATAATGCTTCAATTGGGTATAACTTTCATATAACTCTCTGAAAGGGAGATAATAAACTCTAGAGAACTCATCCATCCTGTTAGTATGACTGGAATCCCAGAATTTGAAAGCTTCATCGATCTGTGTTTTCCATACCATTTTAGTGTTCTCAATCCCAGGGATAGAGAACTCAAACTCCCTCTCTCTAATCTCATAAGCTAATGATATCAACCCTGTAAGAATGATTTTCTGTCCAAAACCAGATATTTTGGGTTGTTTCTTTCTCAAAATATACTTAATGGCCGCTAAAAGCGTCATATTATTCTGAGCTCCTGCTTTATACCGACCCGAGTTCCACATTTCTTCATCGCATGGTAATCCTGGTTTAAACTCGTGCAAACCAATAATGGTATCATGGCCAAAAACCACGGCATTCAACGTTTGAAGGTAGAAAATAGCGAAAGTGCATCGTTTCAAGGATTCCCTTTCTATCCATTTCTCCCATTCCTCCCTGGTTGAATTAGCATAGATGTTAGCATCAGAATCTTCTTTGGAATATGTAAATTTGATCCAAGGATTACCACCAAGTAAGGGACTTCTCTTCAACATTTGAATGGATATCCCTCTATGAAGATTTGCACGTTCATGAAGATCCCTGGTAGAACAACAAGTTTCGAAACTTTCCAATATCACAAGAGCTTGAACTACCCAAGGAGCTGGAGGAGGTTTGAATTCTTTTGCTTGATATAATGCCAAACGAAGAGGTTCAGCGATGTGGTGAGCAAAATTCATCACCTTCCCATTATGGTCTTTGGATAACGCGTTGGAAATATAAACTCCAATTGATATCATTGCAAGCAAAAGTATGGGATGGCTGTTCTTTGTGGAAAATGAAGGCATGTTCAACACAGGGAATTGAGGATGGAAATATTGCCAGTAATCTTGAAGAAATTCTGTTAGGAATCGGTGTTGGAACTCAGGGAACCCTTTTAGCGTTGGTACTACCAGTAATAAGCCTTCCATGACCTTCTCATCCACGACTATTTGTTCACTACTAAAGGGGAACCCAGTAGGTTGATCGAGATCATTAGTAAGGTTCTTAATATTTATCCGATCAGGATAAGGATGTTCGAATTCCTCCAAATTGGGCGATATACCGTTCTGACTGTTTCCTTCAGAAGTATCACCATTACCGAAAAGCCATTTGATCATCTCGTTGGTGGACACTAAATCATCAATGGAGAATCCAGCTCCAGGAGTTATAGGAGTTTGTACGGTCAGGAAAGTTTGATGTTCTGGTCTGTCTGCTATAGTAACATGCCTCCCAGGCAGTTGGAACTTATCTTGTGAATTTTCTTTGGCCATTGACTTTTCATGGCTCAATACCTCCTCCTCTTCTTCGGTGTATCCTTTCTTAGTATCTATAGCCTTAAAGTTATCACCCTCCATCATGACAAACTTGATCATCTTATTCTTGTCTTGAGAAGGGTTACCCTCATGTTGTTTTCTGTAATGTTTCTGATACACATCTTTTCTTACAAATGTTTTGTTACATCCTGGCCACGTACATTTATGTTGAGGAATGGATTCATGGTTCAATTGATGTCGGGTTAAATGATCTAATCTTGCGAAAGATTTCTTACAACCCCAGACCTCACACACGAATCTGTCTTTGGATTTGTCGTTACTCATGCCATAGAAGTCGATATCAATAGATGGAGGATCGTTAATAGCACTCATGACATTCAAATGTGGAGGTGAGTGGGGAATAAATGGGAATAGTGGGTGGGATTTGGGTTTACGGAATTATCGCGCACTAAAAAATGCGGCTCAATATTCCTCCATAACCCCAGTCAATTGATTGTCCTTTTTCAGTAATGTGAGAAGTGGGGGAGATGAAGGTATAAGACTAGATATTGGAGAATTGTCAAATAATTATGACGATCAGTGATTTCAAGAAAGTGTTGGTGACTGGAGGTACTGGGTTTATTGGGGCTCACATAGTCAAGAATCTTTTAAATTTAGGTATCAAAGTTAGATTAGCTTCCAGGTCCCTCGAAAAGGGACAAAAGTTCGTACAATTACACCCTGGAAAAGAGAATTTAATCGAAGTTGTGGTAGTTAAGGATTATACTCAACTTGAAGGTGAAAACCCTTTCCTTGAAGCTGTCAAAGGTTGTGATGGTATCATTCATGCTGCTAGTCCTTTAGATTACACTGTAAGTAATGTTGAAGAAGAATTGATTAAACCTGCTATTACTGGGGTCAAAGTTGTGTTTGAAGCTGCTGCCACCGAACCTTTAATCAAAAGAATTGTTTTGACTTCTTCCTTTGCTTCAGTTATGGACGATGGAAGAGGTCCTGGTCCTGGTTTCACTTATACTGGAGATGATTGGAATCCTTTAACATACGAAGAATCCATCAAAGCCACCCCCGTCTTTGCTTATAGAGGATCAAAGAAATTTGCTGAAGTTGCTGCTTGGGATTTTATGAAATCTCAATCCCCCGGTTTTGATTTAGTAACTTTTTGTCCACCTATGACTTTTGGTCCAGTGGTTCATCCTGTTGATTATGTTGAAGATTTGAATTTATCCAATGCTAATCTTTGGGAAGTTTACCAAGCCAAAGAATTACCTGTTTCCAGAGTTGCTGTTTGGGTTGATGTTAGAGATCTTGCTTTAGCTCATGTAAGAGCCTTGATTACTGATAAAGCTTCTAACAAAAGATATGTACCATCATCTCCTGATAAGTTTTCTTATAAGCTAGCAGCTAAGATTATGCAAGACCATGGTTTAGGGAAAGTCAAAACCGATGATAATGATCTCATCCCTCAATCTTATGATTTAGATTATCAAACCATTGAAAAGGATTTAGGAATCAAATTCCGTGGTTTTGAAGAATGTATTGTTGATTCAATTCAACAATTTCAACAGTTACCTTCTAAAGAAAGTTTTTAGATCAATATGATAAGTTCCTTCATCTATTTCTTCTTTCTCTCTCTCCTGTGCTGATCCTCAAAACCTTCCAGATTCTTCCAAATTCCTCCTTGGCTAAAACTGCGGAACCACCTCCACCAATTCCATTTTCCTCTCCGATTACATTTTCAAAAAAATGCGACTTACCCCATACTTTCGTAAATCCAATATGGGGATCCCCCACCACGTCCTGATTGAAATTTTGTGGAGTCAGCCAGTTGTAAATCTTCACATTAAACATCTAGAGTGGGTAGATTTAGATATAAGAACAACGATATTCAACTTTCTCTTCTCAGCAAAATGAAATCTTTTGGCTTATCTGGTAAGTTATTACTTACTTTACTTACAATTTCAAATGGTTTAACCATGGGTTGGTTTGGTTACGATCAAGGGTATGTTCAGACGATTAATTAGAGTTTTAAACGTGTGGTACTAACCATTTTAGGGTGTTTTCAGGTGTTCTTATTTCTGATGATTTCCTTACTCATTTTCCAAGAGTTAAGAATGATCATAATATCTCTGGTATTACTTCCAGTTGTTTCTCCTTGGGTGCTTTTGTAGGTGCTATTTTTGCTTTTACCTTCGGTGAAAAGATTGGAAGAAGAAAAACCATTCTTCTTGGGTCTTTTTTCAATACTGTTGGTGCTGTGTTACAAGTAACTTCTTTCCATTTACCTCAAATGATCATTGGAAGAGTCATAAACGGTTTTGGTATGGGTATGACTTCTTCTACATGTCCAGTTTATCAAGCTGAATGTACCAAAGCTAAGTATAGAGGTAGATTAGTGGTCTTTGGTTCAGTTTCTAATACTTTCGCTTATATGTTGAGTAATTGGATTAACTATGGTCTTTACTTTAGAGGTGGAGCTATTGAATGGAGATTCCCTCTTGCATTCCAGTTGATCTTCCCATTATTTTCCGTTCCTTTGGTATTACTTTCTCCTGAATCTCCTCGTTGGTTGTTGAATCATGAGAAATTAGATGAAGGACTTGAAAGTATTAGATTACTTTGGGGTAAAAACCTTTCCAAAGATAATCAAGAAGTTAAGAGTGAATTTTATAATATTTTAGCTACCATTGAAGAAGAAAGAGCTCAACAAGCTCCTTTGAAGGATGTTTTCTTCGGTAAAGATAAACATAAGAACTTAAGAAGAGTCATCTTGGGTATGGGTACTCAATTCATGCAACAATTCTCCGGTGTCAATGCTTTAGGTTATTATATGCCAACAATTTTAACTGTCCAATTAGGTTTCAGTAAGAAAACTTCCAAATTATTAAGTGCCTGTAATGCCACTTCCTATTTAGGAGCTGCTTTAGTATGTTTACTTATCATTGATAGAATTGGTAGAAGAATTATGATGTTGTATGGATCTGTTGGAATGTGTATCACTTATATCATAGCAGCTGTAGCCATGAAAATCTCTGAGACTAGAGATACTTATGCTATGGGGGCTTTAACAGTTTCGATGTTTTTCATCTATTATGTCATCTATGGTACTAGTTATGCCAAAGTTCCTTGGGTTTACAGTTCCGAAATCAACTCTGTTGGATGGAGAACTAGAGGTGCTGCTGCTGCCACCGCCACCAACTGGATTTGTGGTTTCTGTATTACCCAATATACTGACATTGCCGTCACCAATATGAGATGGGGATTTTACTTGCTTTTTGCTATGATCGTTTTATGTTATGGACCTGTGGTTTGGTTCTTCTACCCAGAAACCGCAAAACGTACTTTGGAAGACATCAACTACATGTTCGATTCTTACGATACTCTTTTCCTTGGTAAATACAAGGAATTGAGACAACGTTCCAGACCAGATCTGTTTATTGATGCTGAAATCGAAAGAATTGAAGCCATCAATGGTAATAGACCTCTCGATGATGAAAAGTTTGACACTAATCATGTGGAAGTAACATCATCTGTGAGCAGAGTTTAATGTGTATTGAATGTAATTAAGTTCTTGTTTCTATTTGTCTATTTACAAATCTAGGGAGAATTGATCTCTAGCGAGATCTGTCTAGTGTGATCTATCTAGTGTGATCTATCTAGCGTGATCTATCTAGTGTGATCTATTTATCTAGCGTGATCTATCTAGTGTGATCTATTTATCTAGCGTGATCTATCTAGTGTGATCTATTTATCTAGCGAGAATTGTTTAATACCACTAGCAAAAACCATCAGAAGACACTCTATTATCACCACACACGTGAAAGATCTATGAATCACTAATGCAAACAGGTTCTTAACTATGACTCTGATAGGTTCGGGTAAACTATTGATTTCTGCTACTGATTTGGTGACTTTCGTGATAATCTGATTTCTGTTTGTAACCCCTGACAACTTGTCAGAGAGAACACGGGCTACCATGAAGTTATTGTAAATAGATGTTAAGGTGATTCCAAATGAACCTCCTAGAACTCTGAAAAGATAACTCATAGATATGGCTCTGGCTTGGTCTGTCTTCTCAATCGATGACACGATAGCCATCAAGGTTCCACTTAGGATGAGCCCATGCCCAAGACCACTGGGAAATAAATATGTTTGGAATTGCCAACCCTGAGTAGAGTCCAGAAAGGTTGTCAGAAGTAAACTTCCAAGAATCTCCGATCCCACTCCGCAAAGACAAACATAATAGTAATTCCCAGTTCTACGGGTGATATAGCCTGCTGATAAAGATCCAATACACATAGCTACAATACTAGTGATTAATCGGGACCCCGCTTTACTGGCTGTTTCATCGTATACCACTTGTAATAATAATGGCAAATTGAAACTGATGGCAAAATATCCCATGTATCCAAAGAAGTTTGTCAACCCTGAAAGAAGGGGATTTCTGGTGGTTAGCACTTTAATCAGAATTATTGGATTTTTGGCTTTCAATTCAGTTCTCCATACAATGAAAAAAGAAACTAAACTTCCGGTAAATACAAGCACTGGATATTTCATAGGTAATTGATTGGTAGCCAACTGAAGAGCCACAAGAATCAAAGTGATGGCTGTTATCAAAAAGATGGAACCTGAAATATCAATGTCCCTCCATCCCACTGTTTTGTTGTGGTGGGGAAGTTTGACTCTGAAGTGAATGACAATAATAGATATCAAAGTTATGGGACATTGAATGAGGAAAGCGTATCGCCAACCAACTTTATCCGCCAAATAACCACCAATAGGAGCCCCTACCACTTGCCCTGTTCCGTAAACCAAATTTGCCATCCCGTTATAGGTACCTCTTTCTCTCAAAGATACCATGTCACTTACAATAATTGAGCTAAGAGTACCTAAACCAGCTCCCCCAACACCAGCTATTATTCTAGCAATAAATAACTGGGTGATATTCTGAGCAAGGAAGCATCCAAATGAACCTATCAAAAAGATGACGTTTGCAATCAATAACATTGGTTTTCTTCCGAACATATCACTCAACCCACCGTACAATGGCTGAAGAGCTGAAGATGATAACATATACAATGTAGCAACCCATGAAGCTTTATCTGATTGTTGGAAATCTCCACCAATCACAGGATATATCGCTGTAACTATGGTACCATCTAAAGCCGCAAGAAATGCCCCTGTCCATAAAGAAGGTATAACTTCCCACTTATTCACCGTCACCACATTATTGATGTTCGAATTTGATGATTCGGAATCCTGACTCAACAAGTATGAAGTTTCGTCAGTTTCTGATTTCTTCATCTTCGAATTTACATTCTATCTGATGATAATTGGTTCTTATCAGTTAAATTGGTATCTTCGTCATTTCCCAATTGGGTAGGTTCCTTTTTGGGTAATTTGCAGCAACGGATTTTTTTTCTTTGGCGGAATTGAGATATTAGTCAAATGATAAGTGCACTAACTGATAAGTAATCTCCAACAAATCTGTTGGATTCCCAGTATCTCTACTTCCATCATGATATTAGAAACCAAGAAGAGAGTAATCTATGCTGTAACAGCGGTGATTTTGATTGTCAGCTTGATCTTTACAACTTCTTTCAATCAAACTTTCCCCCACCCTCAATGTGTATTGAATCAAAAGAGACCTTCATTCAAGCAAGATCCGTTAAGAATAAATGAACGTAATGTGCTTTTTCCTCATGAAGAGTTTATCTTAAAAAATGCTACTATAATTGATGGAGATGGTAAAATATCTAGTGGAGATATTTTGATTAAAAATAGCACCATCACGGAAGTTGGAAATCTAAACTATGATAATATCAAAACCATTGACTTGCAAGGGAAATACCTCACCCCTGGACTAGTGGATTGTCATTCTCATTTTGGTACAAGAGCGCAACCCCAATTAAAATTTACTGAGGATACCAACGAGTATACCTCCCCTGTCACCCCCTTCATGAGATCTATTGATGCAATAAACCCCCGGGATCCCAAATTGGCTAGTCTTAATGCTAATGGTGTTACCTCACATTTGGTGCTTACAGGAAGTAAGAATTTATTAAGTGGTGAATCATACGGTATCAAGTTACATCGATCTCCTAATAATCTAGTGGAGGAAATGCTTCTTCAGTACAATGTTCAAGCAGATAAGCTCGTCAGATGGTTCAAAATTGCTTATGGTGAGAATGAAAAGGCAAGTGGTTTGCCAGGTTATCCCGTCAGCAGAATGGGAGAAAGTTGGGTATTGAGAAAGGCGTTTGAGCAAGCTTCTAGCCTCAAAATAAAACAAGACAAGTGGTGCCAAAAACCTCAAGGAGACTATCCAACTGACTATGAACTTGACACTTTGGTGGATATTCTAAGAGGAGACCTTAACGTGAATGTTCATCTCTATGAGACATATGATTTTGAGACATTGGTCAGGATAGCTAATGAGTTTGAGTTTCATATTGGCTCATTCCACCATGCTCTTTCTAGTTGGGAAGTCATAAAGCTTTTGAAGGAACATCAAACCTCAGTAGCAATATTTGCCGACGAATGGGGAGGGAAAAAGGAACAGTACGAAGCCACTGTCAATGCACCTCGAATTTTAGCGGAAAATCATATTCCCGTAGCCATTAAAACTGACCATCCTGCCTTTCCAGGACAAGATCTCTTGTATTACGCTCAAATAGCTCACAACTTTGGTCTTCCATCAGAAATGGCCATCAGTGCCGTAACTTCCGTCCCGGCAAAGATCATGTCCATGAACCATAGAATAGGATATATTAGGCCAGGTTATGATGCTGATATAGTTGTTTGGGATAATCACCCTTTAGTCTTGGGCACTAAAACTCAAGAAGTAATCATAGATGGGATTCCAATGTTCCAGTTTGATAAGCTCAAACCTACTCCACCAAGTTCGAAAGCTATGCAAAGAGTTTCATCTGAGATCAATGTTACTTCAGACAGCTTCGTCATCACTGGTATTAACAGCTCGTTCTTAAGAAACTCCACTAGTCTCAATATTGACCCTCAATCCCAAGAAGTAGTGGTGGTGGATCAAGGGGAATTGAAATGTATCGGAAGTGCAACCTACTGCACTTTTGATTCCAATGTCCCGGTGGTGAATCTTGAAAACGGCTATATTTTACCTGGGATCACTGCTGTATCTCCAGACGTTGGTTTAAGAGAAATGATGAACGAACCTAGTACTTCTGATGGTGACGGTTCCACCTATTCGCAAATAATTCACGCTAAAGATGGGCTTATACTTGATGGTCTTGTTTTAGAGAGACTCCAAAATGCTGGAGTAAGTCAAGCAATCACTGCACCTATAGGAACACATTTCCAACGAGGAGTGAGTACCAGATTCTCTCTCGGTGAGAAAACCTTGGATACATCCATATTGGACGAAGAAGTAGCTGTGCATTTCACAATTGGTGACAGTGCCAAAAGTCCAACTCTTCCTACCATATCGTCCCAATTGAAGGAACTTCGAGATTTCATTGCTCAAGGGAAATATCCCCATCTTCCTATTGCTGTTCATACCCACAGTAAACCTGTTATTCTCCAAATCATTAATCTCAAGCAGTCAGTCAATAGGAAAATAATCATCATAGGTGGACAAGAAGCTTACCTTGTGGCAGATGAACTTTCTCAAGCAGAAATCCCCGTAATCCTCGCTCCTTGGAGATGTACTGCCAAACGATGGGAAAATCGTAGATGCTCCCCTAACACGCCATTGATGGAAGAGTCGTCAGTAAATATCCTTCACAGGGCAGGAGTTAAGTTTGCTATTGGTCAAGACCAGTTTAATAGTGTGAGAAGAACGTTTTGGGAAGCTAGTTTGGCAGGAAAAGCTATTGATGGGTTTGATCTCCAGCAAACGGTTGATCTAATTTCCCATAACGTTGATGAAATCTTTGGATTACAAGAATCTAAAAATCTTGTGGTTTTTGACCACAATCCTTTAGAGTTTGGGGCAACCTTAGCGTTCAGTTTTTCTAACGGAAGACTCGTCAAAGTTTTCCCCGAATATGAAGAAGAGATCAAAGGGGATGGGCTATTCAGAGGTATATAGAAAAAATACATTGAACTTTTTGTTCTACTCTTTCAAAACATCGACATTTCTAATCAATTGGTAGAAGAAAACCACACCCTCGATATGAGCATCCAAGGAAACCCTTTCATCGATTGCATGAGCATTGGCTCTTTCAACTTGTCTAATAGGTGTGAATCTGTAGATGTTATCGGTCAAATCCCAATAATAACGGGTGTCAGTGTTACCAGTCATACAAGAAGGAGACACTGTAACGTCTTGATGGTTATTACCATCTCTGTACTCAGCGAAATCTTCAAAAACATGTTTGATAGTCCCTCCCAAGACATCCCAAGTTGGATTGTTCAAGGTTGGAGTCAAAGGGGCTGGGATCAAAGGTGCATCTGGGGTAATTTGGAATAATCCTGAAGACACATCGTTCTCCTTCAAAACTTTACCGAAAGCTTCAATATCTAAATTATATTTTTCAGCAACCTTTTGAATAGCCTTTAAGGTCTTTTCTTTGACTTCTTCGAATGATGAATCATACGAGATTCTATGGTTTGTTTTTAAAGTCACTCTTTCAGGTAAAGCATTGATTTTCAAACCCCCAAAAATGATATCAATGGCTTGAGTAGTTGAAACCAAAGCTTTTCTATCAGCAGCTTTACTTACTTCTTTCAAAACCCTCTTTTTCGCCGCTTTGCTAACAGTCAATCTTGAAATATCAGACTTCAACCCACTGCTCATGGTTTTAGATGCTTTGGCTTCACATTGAAGTTGGTAATAGAATGGACTCTTTGGTGAAAGATCTAAAGGAAATTCTTCAGCTTCCATTTCATGAATGAAATCAGCCATCATACCGATTCCAGTATGTCTTGGAGGTACAGAAGAATGTCCTCCAGTAGTGATGAGATCTATGGTAATATCAACATACCCTTTTTCTCCAGTAGAAGGTAAAGCTAACCTTGAACCATAAAGATCTTGAACTCCTAAACCACCTTCGTCTACAATCATTAACATAGATTTTTCTCCCCATTTTTCCTTTAAGAAATCTTTGATACTATTGGCACCTCTATGACCACTTGTTTCTTCATCAAACCCTAAAGCGATAACAATAGATCTCTTAGGCTGAAATCCTCTGGCTAATAACTGTTCAATGGCTTCAAAAACAGCAATTACATTGTTTTTACAATCACTGGATCCTCTACCCCAGAGGAAATCACCATCAAAAAACCCATCAAATGGTGGATGGGTCCATCTTGAAATTCCATCTTTTGGAACTGGCACCACATCTTGATGGCCACATAACATAATTGGCTTTAAGCTAGAATCTGACCCTTTGATATCAAAAACCAAGCCATATGTATTAACTGTAGTCAATTCCGAACTTTCATAAGTTTTAGGGAAGGTCTTTATCAAGTACTCCCGGAAATCATTGAAGATGCTCCATCTTGGATCTTCTGCAACATCACCTAAATCATCGAAGTTTTCCGTGGGAATTCTAATTGCATCTCTCCAGTAATCGAGCGACATATTTCTGTATTCATAAGATTTAAAATAATCCAAATCTGATAATTTATCATCGAATTCAGGCACTAATTTGTCTAAAGCAGGGCATAGATCAACCTCTTCTGCCACATGTTGGTTGGATAATATTGAGTATCCTGCAAGACACCCAATCACGCTTAATCCTAATAATCTCCTGTAATTGAAGGCTTTATCCTTCTTATGAAATAATGGGAGTTTTTGGTCCATAATTGATTCGTTGAAAGTGGTTTAAAGTTATATAGATAGACCGCACTTTGACACAATCTCCGCGAAAGTCCGCATGCGCGATAAAGCGCAAACGTTGAGACATAATTACCAAAAGGGTAATTTCCTTTTTTGGGGACGAATGGTAAGTAAGGTGATGAGAAAGTTATATAGGTTGGAACAAATGATTACTGCATGGTAATATGGCAGAAACTATTCAACGAAAGAAGATTCTAGTGAATTTACTAGTATTGGTGGCTGTTGTTTTTGCAGCCATTTTAGTTTATCTCAAGCCTGATAAGACGACCATCACTGTGAAACAACTGTTTTTGAGAGAGGGACTAGAAAGATGTAAAACCAATAAACAGAAATTCAATCCCACTTTCACTGAGAACAGAAGTAATCCAAGATATCAATTATTTAAAAGTAAACCAGTTTTGATCGTAAATGCCACTATTATCGATGGTGATGGAACTATTTCTAGCTCCAAGCAAGACATCCTTCTTGAGAATGGAGTTGTTTCAGCTATAATTTCTTCAAATTCTCGAGAAAGTTCAAAGTTGGTTGCACGAGGTATTGAAATTATTGATGCCAATAATCATTACGTCAGTCCTGGCCTAGTGGAAATGCATTCTCATGTGGGAATTTGCACCCAACCGGAACTTAAAGGGGTTAATGATATGTTTGAATTAATGTACCCTGTAACTCCATACACGAGAGTAATTGATGCTTTCAATGTAGGCGATCCTGCCATCGAAATGTCGTTGAGTGGCGGTGTGACATCAGCCTTAATTCTTCCTAGTGCCAATTTGATATCAGGTGAAGGGTTTGTTTTCAAAATGTCTGTTCCTGAATCCTTGTCAGCTGAGCAAATGCTAGTACAGTACTCAGGTGAGGCTTTTGAGAATTCTTTCAGACAAAGATGGATGAAAATGGCATGTGGAGAGAACCCTAAAAAAAGGTACACAGCTCGTGAAGATGCCCCTAAAAGTAGAATGGGACTTGGACATTTATTCAGAAAAACCATGCAACAAGCTCAAAGACTCAAAGATGAACAAGATCTTTGGTGTGAACAGATTTATAATGGCCAACTTCCTCTAAGCAGATATCCTGAAAACGATGATTTAGATTTACTTGTTGAACTTTTAAGAGGCAAGGTTTTATCTAATGCCCATTGTTATGAAACTTTTGATATTGAGACCCTTTTAAGACATGCTAGAGAGTTCGGAATTGAGATCAATACCTTGCATCATGCTCTAGATGCTTATAGAATTCCTGAAACCATAAAAAACCAACCTTATAATATATCTATAGCGACATTTGCTACTCTTTGGGGGCATAAAAAAGAAGCTTTCCAAGGAAGTCTTTTCGGTCCTAAAATATTAGAAGAGAATGATATCACAGTGATTTTGACTACAGATCATCCAGCAATTGCTGGTCATACTCTTCTTAATCAGGCCCAGATAGCACATCATTATGGATTAAGTGCGGAAAAGGCATTTGCTAGTATTACAGGTGAACCGGCCACCGCTCTTAATTTGGGAAATAGAATAGGTTTCCTCAGAAAAGGTTATGACGCAGATGTTATTATCTGGAGTGACCATCCCTTGAACATGAGAGCCAAACCTTTGAAAGTTTTTGTGGATGGGGAAATGTTAGTGAACCAACCTTTGATTGAAGGGGAATTGAACGACGTTTCTGATTCCATACCTAAAGTTTCCGAAGCTCAACTTGACTTGAGAAAATTCGAAGGCTCGGGTACTTACTTAATCACGGGTATTACCAAATCTTTTATTCCTGGGTATGGGAACTCCTCGCAACTGCAACTACTTGTGGCTGATAATGAGATAATCTGTTTTGCTGAAGACTGCTCGAAGCTCTCGATAAGGTATAGCAATATCCCCAAACTTGAATTGCAAAACGCATATATTTCCCCCATGTTGACTTCATTGACACCTTCTCATGGGATTGCTGAAATGGCCCTAGAACCTATGACTGGCGATGGAGTTATGGTAAAAGCCTTGGAGATGAGCGAATTGTCTTCTTTCAGGAATCCGAGTAATGTCCCCAAGGCAAAGTACGGTCTTCAGCTTGGAAGTGTTCACCTTTCCAAAGCGTTCAATCTGGGAACCGGCATCATTATCACTCCACCTTTCAGAGGCGAAGGTCAATTATTTGTCAGTGGTGTAAGTGTAGCCTTTTGGTCAAACAGTGAGACGTTGGAAAACGTCAAAGATGAAGTGGCTCTTCATATAACCATAGGAGATCAAGGGAAACAAAAAGAAGTTCCTACAATTTCCTTACAGTTTGCAGCTTTGAAAGAGATGTTATTGAACAACCAAGATACTGACAATATTTATGGTAAAGTTTTATCCAAAGAACTACCATTGGCCATTCACACTAACAACAAAGACGTTATGCTTCACATAATAGAACTCAAGAATACATTAGATTTAGATATCATTATTGTGGGAGGTATTGAAAGTCATCTTATTGCCCATCAACTTGCTAGTAATGACATTCCGGTGGTAGTTACTCCATGGCGTTGTCAAAGACGATTCTGGGATGAAAGAAGATGTTTATTGGGTGTCAATGGACAATCAACAGTATTAAAAGAACTACATAGTGCTGGTGTTAGGGTAGCTTTAGCTCCAGATGATGATGTTAAAGTTAGAGTTTCACTTCAAGACGCGGGATTGGCCGCTGCTTTATCGGACATCCCTATTGAAGATGTGATGTACATGCTTACTGACGCTATGAATGATATATTCCATCTTCCTCCGACAAATAATAATTTTTTCATCTCTCAAAGGAATCCATTAGATTATGGATCTAGGATCTCCGTTATTATTCGAGATGGTGTGTTGACAAAAATCTATCCCGATATTGAACCCAACAATAACCCATTTATTCCTCAGTAATACATATACCACCCTACCACCGCCCTCTGTTACTTGGCATTCTTACTTGAAATGGTCCGATAACATATATCAAATGATAAACCCTCGTCCCAATGAGGTAATTACTTCATTGGGTAATCGCTGATAAGACTATTTCTTATTATATTTAATGTGAGATTATGAAGACCATTCCGCACTTTTTGCAACCAACGTAATCGTTCAATGTCTGAAGAAAAAGAAACGGTAGACGTAAAACAACAGTACGTAGATTCTGATGGGGTCAACGATTTGATGGCACTCAAATCAAACCCGGATGTGGCTCTTAAATTATTAGAAGAAAACGATGAGATAGAATATACACCGGAAGAAGAAAAGAAGCTTTTACGTAAAATAGATAGACACATGATATTCTTCATGTTCTTTACTTATTTCTGGCAATTTATGGATAAGAATACATTGTCCAATTCCGCCGTGTTTGGTCTTTCTGAAGATCTCAATTTACACGGTCAACAATATTCTTGGGCCGGTAGTTTATTTTACTTTGGTTATCTTGTGGGTCAACCCATTGCAAGTAGATGTTTCCAATTATTACCAATCCCTAAATATGTTGCTATTTGTTTTGTTTGCTGGTCAATTATATTAGTTTGTACTACTGCCACTGAGAATTTCGCTGGATTGGCATGTATCAGGTTTTTCTTGGGAGTAGCTGAAGCAACAGTTTCTCCAGCTTGGGTTATCTTAACTTCAATTTGGTACAAGAAAGATGAGCAACCACTTCGTGTCACTTCATGGTTCATCGGTAATGCTGTTGGGGTTATATTTGGTGGATTAATTGCTTATGGATTGGGTCATATCCATTCTTCTATTGCTTCTTGGAAATGGTTTTATGTTATTTATGGTATTATTACTTTCTTTTGGGGTTGGGTTATATTCTTCTTCCTTGCTGAATCTCCTGCGACCGCTAAATTTTTAACTGATAGGGAAAGACTTATCGCAGTTCAAAGACTTAGAGATAATAGAACAGGTATCAAAAATACTACTTTCAAAATAGAACAAGCAAAAGAAGCTTTGTTGGATCCTCAAGTATGGCTCATTGTACTTCTTGAATTTGCTGGTTGTTTACCAGCAGGTGGAATCCAAAATTTCGGTAATATTATCATCAAATCTTTCGGCTTTTCCGCTTTCGATACTGTCTTGATAAATATGCCTTCAGGTGTAGTCCAAGGTTTAACTTTGACCATTGCTGGGGTTATTATTAGTAAAGTACCTAATTTTTGTTGTGATATGCAATCAATCGCTATGATCCCGTGTATTATTGGTACCACATTGGTGAAAAAATTACCCAACTCCCCCAATTCTACTAGGGCAGGTAAGATGGTGGCTTTCTGGATTCAATATAGTAACACTGTTGCTAATGTTGGTATTTTCACCTTAATGACCAGGAATATTTCTGGATTTACCAAGAAGACTGTTGCCAGTTCTATGATTTTCATAGCTTATTGTGTGGCTATGATTGCAGCTCCACAATTTTTCAAAGAAGATCAAGCTCCAGGCTATGAAGAAGGTTTCAATATGATGATCTCCGGTTGGGTAGTATCATTAGTCCTTCCTCAAATCTTGAAATACTACTATAAATACGAAAATAAGAGAAGAGATAAGAGAGAAGAAGTTAGCGTATTGAATGAAGAATTCTTTGATTTGACAGACAAGGCTCAACATGGGTTTAGGTATACTTTGTAGTGTAATAGAAATGTTATTTGTGTTCTTCCCTTTAATCTCTTGCGGATCGATATCAGCGGAATCCTTATCGCGGAATGCTTATCGCGGAAGAGATAGATCTCAAACATGAAGATCATAGATCAGACCAAAAACACCATAAGGAAACAGAAAGGAAAGGTAACAAAAAGAAATCAAGTTCCTGGATCATCTAAGATCACAGAATTTCGGCTAGTTACGTCAAAAGTAGATATTGAACCTCAGCCAGATTTGATAGATGAAGTAAATCTTGACTTCACTTCTTTTCTCCATCAGGAGCTTGAGTCACTCATGCAACCAGCAGAGAATTATGGATTTAACGTATGTATCATTTTGTATCTATTAAACTTATTGATAAAGACTATCAGCCCCCGAAAATACTGACCTCATTGATCAAGACTGACTTATACCTAAAAATACTAACCTTATAGATCACTAATGAATTCCCAAATCAAGATGAAGACAATCAGAATTGGATAGATAATATAATGGACAACATTCTGAAGGTCTCACCGGTGGAATCTGAGAGTATTTTCGAACCTCTTGATTATCAAAATGAATTCAGATTAGTCAATCATTATTGTCGTTCGATGTGTGAATTCTATAGTGTCAAAGAACCTAAATGGAACTTCTACTCGATGGTGTCTAATCATTATGCTTATAGATTCACCCCCTTAAGATATAGCTTACTTGCATGGTCGGGACTTCATCTCTCTATTGTTGAAAAATCTACTTCATCACTCAGTAAGACGTATTATAAGACAGCGTTGACATTGATTATGAAAGAGAATTTTCACAACAGTTCTGTTCCAATAGAATTATTATTAGCATCAGCTTACTTTTTAGCATTATATGATCTCATGGAAGGTACGGGTAATACAGTGTTCATATTAAAGCATGTTTGGTCAACTTTGAGAGTAGGTAACATTTTTGAATCGGAATTAAATCAATCAAATGATCAAAAATTAAGTGCCTTTGGTTATCAAATTATAACATGGTTGATTTACATTGATATAAAGTCGGCATTATTTATTGGAAACATCAATTTCCCTGATTATATTTTCTTGGATGACTCTAAAAATCAGAATTTAAATATTCAGTATTTGACGGTTTCAGAAGTTTATGAATCTAAAACCGTGCTGAACATTTATCAGCACTCTCGTCATGTTTTAAGTGATATTTATGGAGAGTCTTATCCCAAAAAGAATATCTTGACGGACAACACCCAGGATAAGATTTTGGTTTTGATGGTGAAAAATATGTTATTGTTAGGATCCCTCATTCGTTTAAGGTGCTGGTTAGAACTGTGTGGGAATTCTACAGATTTTGACCCCCAGTCCCTTGAAACGAAAATCAATATGCTTCACCAAGAAAGTATGAAATTATACCAATATGAGAATGACAAAGAAGATGTCACATTGTTCCATATTCTAATAATAAATGCCTTAATACATTCATCTGTTATATATTTCGATAGGATATGTCATCCAGATATTAGAACCAATGATAGGAGTCAGAAATCAGCTGACGAAATATTGAAAATAGCCTTGAAGTTGAAAAATCTTCGAGGTATTGAAACTCCTGGTTCACTCCAATGGCCCTTACCTATGTTCATTGCAGGTATAGAGACCACTCACGATATTCAGAAAGACTGGATTCTGCATGAGTTAGATAACTATGAAGATGCGGGTTGGGGATCACAAATAGGGAAAATGAAGATTCTTTTACAGAATACTTGGAAAGAACAAGACAAAGTCAATTCTCGAGTTGATGTGGGGAAATTAATGCACGATATCACCGGATATTTTGTTATGTAGTTAATGAGAATTTATGTCTAATGTTTTTTGTGGTGTTCTCTCCCATTCGACTCAGCTGCCGTGTAACTCTTCTGAAAGGATGAACAAAAGAAAAGTATTTTTTGCAAAAATCACAAATCTTTAACTACGATGACGATTGTCCATAACCATGCATTTGATGTAGATTCTAAGCATTGTAGAGATTATATGGCTAAAATTGGATTGGTCTATCAGGTGCTTGGTTCAGCTGCTGAACTAGCATTACGCTTCAAACGTTTGTTCATGAGCAATATTGGTGGAAAGCACATAGAGAATCTCATACTCATCGCATGATCGCATCTTGAGGTTTTCTCACGTAAAACTTCAGAACCAGTGGATCCAATTTCCTTTGCAAGAGATTTATCAGTACGATTATATATCCCTGGTTCGTTCTTAGACCAGAATTATACCAGGAACTTTGAGTACTCCAAATCTCTTAGTCGGACCCTGTTATCAAGTAAAATTTTAATGAACCCTCCTTCGGATCAGTGCTTCCCTAATATTTCCCTAACACTCCCCCTCCTTAGTCTGCGGCTAAGTCTAAAAGTACGCCGACGTGTAGGTCGACGCCGCGGGTATTTTAAGTTTATTTTTAGGACCAATTCGCACCAAAACGTGTGTTCCTAGTATGTCAGTTTTCCAATCATTAAAGGCATCGAAGTTCAAAGCCCTATGGATCCTAGCTGCTTGGATAGTGGTTTTCACCATATGGATCGTTGGATTCGCTGACCTTGATCAAAATACCAAACTTTCCGATGATTATTTCGATTCCCAACTTCAACATGATAAGTCAAAGAAGTCGCAAGACGTCAAAGTTGTCAATGTTTTCCAGCATTCAGGGATCAAGAAAGTAGCCCAATCCTTAGGTTATTTCGACAAGAGAGATAAAGATGCCCATTCCAATGTGTACGATCACATTTTATCCCGTCACGACTTCACTTCACTTTTACAATTGAGTTTTGAGGAAAGATGTGATTTGTATTTCAAGAATTTATATTTAAATGATACAAATTGGTTCTTGAACCCCCATTCTGACTTATCTGTGGAGAATAGAAATGAGTTTGTGTTTGAAGAGTACAGAAAGAAGAAATTGGATTCTTTAAAGGAGGAATATATCAATAAATTGAAGGAAAAGTTTGAGAAAGAGAAGGAAGTAGAGGGGTCTGAAGAATCCAAAGAGGAGTCCAAAGAAGAATCTGACGAATCCAAAGAAGAATCTAAAGAAGAATCGAAAGAAGAATCGAAAGAAGAATCGAAAGAAGAATCAAAAGAAGAGCCTAAAGAAGAATCTAACGAGCCTAAAGAACAATCTAACGAGTCCAAAGAAGATTCTAACGAGTCCAAAGAACAATCTAACGAAAATAGAAACAAAAGGAAAGAAAAGTTAACGGACGATGATTTAGAAAACTTCTTCAGAAAACTCAACTCTAAGGATGAATTAGAAGTTGATGCTGTTCCTGATGATTTAGTAACTTCCGATGAACTTGAAGCTAAGATAAGGAAAGAATATGATGAGTTTTGGGCCAAAAATACCCAGAAAGAAACCACCATGGTTAACTTTTTATCACATTTCAGGATCTTTAACAAATGTTATATCACCAATGATATGGTGGAACAGAGACAAAACATTGATAAATCTTTAGGTATTGAGAAATCTTTAAATTTGCCGGCGAAGAAATTCAAATACACACCAGAAGAGAAACTCATCGATTTGAAATCTGATTGTAGTGAGATTGAGTCAAGAGTTTATAGATGGTTGTCGTTTTCATATCCAATTTATGAGCGTTGGACAGGTCATACGTCAGCCAAACCTCCAAATATGAAAGAATTTGTTAAAGATCCATCGGTTTTCGAACCTTCAGACCCTGATTCTTATAAGACTTTCAATCATCCGAAAGCTAAGGAAAACTCATGTTTCTTAAATAAATTCAAAAGTCAATTGAATGGTAAAGGTATAGTCATGAGTATTGGAGAACATCATGTGGATGATACCGTTAAATTGGTGAAATTATTAAGAGTGTTGGGTAACCAATATCCCATTCAAATTGCTTATTATGATAATCTTTCTCAAAAACTGAAAGAAAGAATCATCAAAGCTGCCAGAATTGATGCCATAGAATTACCTGACAGTTTTGAGAAAGTTAAGGGTGAATTCCCTCATCTTTCAGGTAGAAAACCAACATTTCCTAAACAAGAAGTTTGGTTCGTTAATACTTATAATGCCATTCAACCCAATTATAGAAACAAATTCGATCATTTCGCTAATAAGTATTTTGCAACCATATTCAACTCATTCACAGAATTCATCATTATTGATGCCGATGTAGCATTATTGAAAAAGCCCGAATATTTCTTTAAAATGGCTAACTATGTTGAAAAGGGAGCTTATTTCTTCAGAGATAGATCTATTAATGACATTCGTCCTCATAGTGATTTGGTCTTTTTCCAAAAACTTATGCCTTCATTGTTAGATTCTACCATTTTTGATATTCCTGTGGTTACTGAAAAGACATTGGATTTGGATTTTATGCAAGGAGCATATCATTATGTTGAATCTGGAGTGGTTGTCCTTAATAGAATGAAACATTTCAATTCTATATTAACTATGGTTCAATTGAATTTCTTCCATGCTATGACTGAAAGAGTTCATGGAGATAAAGAAGTTTTCTGGTTAGCATTTTCTGCTAATGGTGATGAAACGGTGGAATTCAATAAATATGCTGCAGCCTCAATTGGACAAGTTACACCACTGAGTGAACGATTAGGTAAAGATGGTAAAGAATTACAAAGTAAAGAAATTTGTGGTAATCATCCCGGACATATTAGTGGTGAAGACGATAGAACACTTTTATGGCTAAATTCCGGATTCCAATTCTGTCCAAAAGATGTTAATTTCAGTGATGAAGTCGGAAGAGGTAAAATCTTCAAAACTTTTGGTCCTGGTGACGAAGAAAAATTAGAACTGATGTATAAGGCGAGAGTCCATATAACCCATGCAGTTGTTCCTCCCTATAATGCTGAGCTGCGTCTTGATGACAATTCAGAACCTGACAAAGGTTGGTACTATCCAGGTATTTACTGTGGATATTATACATGGTGTGGATACTCCAGAATTGGAGGTACTTATAATGATAAAGACACTGTGATGTATGGGACATTCATCGAGTATTCAGAAGAAGAAACTGCTGTCCATGACTTCCTTGGTGATGTTTGGATGGCAGTTTAATTTGTAAATAGAGTAGAATCTCTCATTTCATAAAATATTTATTTAAAGTAATAGGCTCTAGCATCTTCCGCAAGACTTGGACCAGTTGGTTTCCAACCAAGTTCTTTCTTGGTAAATTCACAAGAAGCAAGTAAGTCCATAGTTAAGAACGGAGCAATGAATCCAAGATACTTCATACCTTCGTCAACTGGAGTTTCTTCAATAGGTAAGTTCAATAATTCACTAAGGTATTGATAAATCTCATTGGTGGTGAGAGTTTCTTGGAAAGCATGGTATGTGGCACCAGGTTTACCTTTTTCAAGACTCAAACATATAAGTTGAGCAAGATCATTTTTTTCTACCGTGATCCAGTGATTTTTACCATCAGAAAGTTTCATTACAGCTCCTTTCCCTTGAGCAGCTTTCCCGATCATGGGGAAAAATCCCATATCCTCTTCACCGTGAGTAATAGGGGGTATTCTCACTACTGAACTTCTAACTCCTTTATCTGCGTATGATAATAAGACATCAATACCAGCTTGACGAGCAAAAGGTCCTGATCCTCTTTGAGGTTCAGAAAATTCATCGTTTTCGACACCATGTAAATATCCGAACCCTGAAACTCCAACAAATGGTTTATTAGATCCTTCCAATGCTTCACAAATACTTTGAATAACTTTAATATCGGAATCTACTGCGTCTTGAAGAAGTTTTTGCGACTCTGCAGGGTCTTTAACAACCAAGAAATCGTGCTTGTAAGCCACATGAATGACACCATCACTTTCGATGGCATTCTTCTTTAATGTTTCGATATCATCTAAGTCCCCAGAAACTGGTTCAACTCCTAATTTTTTCAATAATTCAATACTTTTGTCACTTCTTGCGAGACCATAAACTTTATGACCTCTAGCTAATAATTCTTTACAAGTTGCTCTACCAATGAATCCACTGGCCCCAGTGACAAAAACTTTCATCTTATGGCGATCTACATATCATCGTGGTATTTTATAGTCCAACGGAGACGGACGTTGCTGATTTTCACTTCGAGACACGGAGACGGAAATTTATTTAGGAATCGCACAAATGGAAAAGTAACCGCATAAATTTGCTTCCCCAAGTCTCGGTATCGATCCGATCTAATCCTAATCCCAACTCAAACTTTTGTACTTAAATACAACGTACTTCGATATCCAAATGTAAGCACCTAATTAGTGGAGCAACTTTGCCATGTTGGTAGCTTCAATTTCCTGGTTTCTTTGCATTTTGATGGAATTGTAACTTTGAATATAGAAAGCGATTTTATTGTCTAGATCATTTTTGTTACTTGTCTGGATCATTTTCATCAGCCGTATTATACATCGCGAGTAGACACTATCGGATTGTCTTCCAACTTGCATAATAACTTATTTCATCGCTTGTTAATTCATCGTTACTTGGCCACAGTTTGATCAAATTTGATGTCTATCAACAAGACCAATTATAAGAGAACGTGGAAATTAAAGAAATGCGAGAAAGGATATGTCACAGCCATTTGAGTATTCGATCCTTCCTATTATGGTAGGGGTCACACACAAAAAGCATACGAACGGCACGTCAGGGAATAAATTCTCTAAATATGCGAATTAAAAATAGATGTAGGAAACTCCAAAACTCGGAAAAGGTACCCAATAAGGTATCACTAAGACTTAACGATTCAATTTTTTTGTTAACCATTATTCCACTACTTATCTGAATAACAGGAATTATCTCCAGAAATATACCCCACGCATACTACAATTTGCCTCCAGTTGTAACTTAAACCTACTCTAAACAAATCTCTGTCCCTATTGTCTTTCTTGAGTACTTCGCGAGTGCATCGCCGCCCCTCTCCCGCCGCACGTCAAAATGACACGGAGACGGATGCTTATTTTTCGCCGCTTTGAAACGGAAACGGCGCATCATTTTTTTTTGAAGTTTAAAAGGATGGTAAATCCTTTTGTTATTTTTCAATTGCGTAAATGTCAGACTCCAATAGTGATTCTAATAATTTAGCAAAGGAAAAGTTCATCGAAGCTGATGCTGGTGATGGAACTACAAGAGAAGAACAATATTTACATGGTGCCCCGTTACTCGCATGTATCTTATCATTATTCTTGAATATGTTTCTCGTTGGTTTAGATCAAACAATTGTTTCAACTGTGCTTACCAATGTTTCTAATGATTTTCATAGTTTTGATAAAGCTTCATGGGCTGCTACCGGATTCTTATTACCAATGACTGTTTTAACAGCCATTTGGGGTAAATTATCTATTGCCTTTGGTAGGAAATATCTTTTATTGGGTGCAACTTTAGTTTTTGAAGCTGGTTCCTTAATGTGTGCTTTATCTCAGAATATGAATACTTTCATTGGTGGTAGAGTAATTGCAGGTATAGGAGGAAGTTGTATTCAAAGTTTATGTTTCATTATTGTAGCTGAAGTTGTTAATATGAATTTAAGACCTTTGATTATGGCATTCTTCGGTTTGATTATGGGTGTTTCCATTGTTTTAGGTCCATTGATTGGTGGTGCTCTTACAAGTGGAACCACTTGGAGATGGTGTTTCTATATAAATTTACCAATTGGTGGTGTAGCTATGGTGGCCTTTTTCTTCTCCTTCAATCCACCTTTACCAAAATTCAATCTTAGACAAAAATTAGCTATGATCGATTACACAGGGGTGTTTATACTTGCTGTTGGTTTAACTTTATTCTTATTAGGTATGACTTTCGGTAGTAGTAGACAATATGATTGGGATTCCGCTGCAGCTATCAGTTGTTTAGTTATTGGTGGGATTTTCAGCATTTTATTCTGTGTATGGAATTTCAAACTTAGTAAGTTTCCTTTAATTCCTTGGGAAGTTGTGAAGATTCCTCAACTTTCTGCTGCTGTGTTTTCAGGTTTTGGTATGTTCAGTTATTTCATGGTAAGTATTCTTTACCTTTCGATTTACTTCCAAAATGTCTTGGGTAAAAATGCTTTACACACTGGTATTAGTCTTTTACCTTTCATCGTGGCTACTTCCGTTGCTGCTATTTCTTCGGGTATTTTAGTTAGAGTTACATCTCTTGTCAAGCCATTTATTATTTTGGGAACGGTTTTGATTGTTGTAGGTACAGGTTTGATCTCCATGTTAGAAGTTGATAGTACTACTTCTCAACAAATTGGTTATTTAATTCTTGGAGGTGTTGGTAATGGTATTTTATTGCAAGGACAGTTGGTTGCTGCCCAATTGAAAGCTCCTAAAACCGAAGGTGGGCTCATTTTAACCACTACTTACCTTATGTTCGGTAGAAATTTGGGTTCCACAGTATCAACCATCTTAGGTGACGTTGTTTACAACACTTCATTGAAACATATTTTACCTGGTGCTGTTAACGGTTTGAAATCTACAAATCCTGATTTATATCAACAAGTGATGTCAGTAACTCCTGACACTTTAGCTACCTCAACTGCTATCTTGGGTACCTTATCTGAAGAAGCTAGACATTTCATTAGGCTTCAAATGATGCATAGTATCAAAAATGTGTTCTATATGGGTATTGGATTAGCTGGTTTGAGTTTCATTGCCGGGTTATTCACTACCAATAAGAAATTACCTAAAGCTCATGAAATTGGAAGTGCTCATGATAAGGATGAAGATAAAGAGCTTGTAGAAACTACGGAAATTAATGATGAGAAGGAATTAGGAACTAGTAGAGATATAGATTCTGATAAAGTCTAGGTTTATTACAAATGCGTGTATATAGGATGTGTTTATGACAATCAATTTTAATTCATATAATTTTTGGATATTCTTAACTACTTCCACATGAGGAGCCACCTCCTCCGCAGCTGCTTCCACCACCTCCGCAACTGCTCCCTCCCCCTCCTCCTCCACAACTACTCCCACCTCCAGAGGTTCCATTATCTCCACTGTAACGAGGACCGGCAGCACAACTTGCACCATGTTGAGTTCCGCAATTGGTTCCTATATCACTCATGGCAAATCCTGTGGAGTAAGCCCCACAAGCAGACGGTCTTGCTTGAATACCTGATCCTACACAAGCCGATGATCCACAACTTCCTTGGAAAAAACCACCAGTCCCCTTGATTCCTCCACAAGCACTAGCTTTATCAATAACTGTCCCACAACCTCCATTCTTATACAAAAGTGCATGTTCTTTGTCATAACGATCGAAATTTACAAACGAATCATTGATATGGATATTACTAATGAAATCATTATCGGTTTCCCAGGGTAATGACACATTTTGATATTTTTGATTGAGCTTATCCAACTTTCTAATCCCTCTTTCAGTGGGAGTATTGGTGGCATTATGAGAACTTACATGATAAATGCTTTCGTATTGGTAACTTACCAATGGAGTTTTAGGCTTCCTTGAGAACAATTTCCTAGTTTTAGTTCTCTTAGACAGGCAATACTCACAGAGACATATAGAATATTCTTCATCAAATCTGCTCTTGTATAATTTGCAAGTTTTTTCGAACCCATCATCAAGTCTCCCTTGTTCAATCTTATCGTTATGATCAATAATATAACCTGCAATATCTTGACAGAAATCGAAATACTTGGATTGAAATAATTGGTGAGTGTGCCATACTAAATCAATGTCCAAAGTTGGAACAATTGAATGATTGGAATGTTCCATCAATGAGAAAAATTTATGGTATCTCTCCATGGCCTCAATAATAGTGATCTCAATGAAGGGTGAATGAATCCAATCTAATCTTACCATCTTATTGACAAATTTTTCTTGTCTTAAAACGCATGCCACTAAATCTTCTTGTACACTGAAGGTACATTCACCAGGAGGAATAGTCAGTGATATAGGATTCATATCGAGATAATCTCGAAGGATCAATGCATCATACTTGGTTAGCTTAGAATTCCTCATTGATTCTACGATGAACAGTTTCAATGGAAGATTTTTAAACTGCTTCTCACTTAAGTATACTTCTGCCTTCGAAGAGTCATCTACTGACTCCACGGTTATAGGTAGAGTCTTATGAGTTCGAGTATAATACTTCTTTATCGAAGGTAATGGTCTATCGCTGGCGGTATCAAAGAAAAGCTTCCTCTTTCTCAATTCCGTGTGATCAATAAACGAATGGAAACCACAATCACAATTATCAATCGATTTGACCCCAAATTCCTTATCAGCAAATCCATATTGCCCCTTGACTGAAAGAAATGTAGTTGTTAGTTTCTTGCCACAAGGACAATATACTGGTATATCAATGTTGGTAGGGTGGATCTCATCATAAGCATTATAATTAAAAGTTTCTTCAAGTCCTAGCTTATCTAGGGCAAAAGTCATTAAATCACTAAAGTTATCACTCAAGTCTATTGATGGAATGAATATAAATTTGTCATTGGAGATAGACTCATCTACCCTTCCAAGTGGGAACGGTATACCCAAAAAACGTTCAAATTCGTTATAGCAGAAATTATCATACATTGATTTTGGGTTTAAAAGGAAGGAATGCCATACTAGAAGGACATCTAAAGGGGGTAACAAGTTATTCATGAATTCTTCGAAATTGAGCTTTTCCTTATCATACTCCTTGAACTTTAGCTTCAAAGCTGTTACGAACAATGCAAACCTTCTGGTCGCAAGGGTTACATAGCACTGCCATACCTTATCTTTGTATTGGGGTTTGTCAAACTTCTCGGTGGTAATATCTCTTAGAACCTTGAAACTATTCAAAAGTTTTAGATGACAGGCAACGTGGTATTTGTTCGGATAACCAGGTTGAATGGCAACACTAGGTGCTAGGAGTTTGATAAATTGTCCCTGTTTATCGTTACTAACTTTCTTTTTTATGAGTTTCTCCATGACAAATTCAATTGGTGAGAAAATCCATCAGTCGATCACGACATCTTTGTAACAAAAACGACATTGTGATTGCGAAAAGAATCGACATTCTGGGTAAATCCATGATAGAGAAGGTGGTCCCGTCCTGATGTTCCCGTCCTGATGTTGATCTAGAAATTACTCACTTATTGGATTTCTGAACACCAAGGTGCTGGATTACATTTAAGTAATTGGGAAGACCACTTGTAATCCATTAGCTGTCAAAAATCGAGAAATCTAGTAATAGAGCTCTAGTCCAAAAAAGTTGAAGGCATACCATACTGAAGTATTTCCAACTTTTGGCAATATTTCAAGCAAACAAAATGGATATCCGTATTTGAATTCTTATTTTTGTACATACAAGTGTTAACATGGCTTGCTTTTTTTTTTGAAGCTCATTTTACAGCCTTTACAGCGCATTATCTATTGATGCTTTCAAGTTCTAGGGTAACTAATGGATATAAATACGACCAAGGTGAATATTATAATTCCAAACACCGATTTGTGGTGAATTGAGATGGTATTACGCAATCCTGTTGAACAAAATGTATACTGTTAAAAATTCATTTCCCTATAGGCACGTGTTTGGCAAAAGCTGTTGAAATCTGTCTCAAGTATGTAGTGGAAGACTTTCGAAAGCGGAAAATGACACCTATTGTTGGCGATTCATAGATTTGGTTCCAGTTCATGCTTCACAAGACTGAGAAAAAATACATTTTGCCTGTGCTCAACAATACCGTTTTTTTTTCCTTATTTCATTAATTCAAAAGTTGCTCTGATAGATTCAGTCTGCTTTAATGCCAAAGATGTGGATCAATCACGGCTTTCCTCTTACCTCTTTTTCTGCACATCAATAAATTCCAGGGTATTTTTCGCAGCCATTTCAGAAGTATCTCCCGGTGATCAGAAATGATGGATAAACTCTCCAGAAGGACGAAAACAATTTAACATACCTTGGTCATTAACAAAATTTTTGTAAGCAAAAACTTTTGACTTAACAAGCGAAATATTGCATCTATCTTCCATCAATCAACGAGCATCTGACGAATGCTAAATTGTGACTGTAAATACTATGTCAAATATTTGAAAAGATCGTATGATAACAAACTACACTTCTATTGGTTGTAAATATTGGAAAAAATGTTTGCAAAACGATTCTTGTTTCATAAATGAAAAAAAGAGCTAGTCATTTCCCTTATAAGATTCAAATGCTCCCTCGTCAAATCGAAAAACTGTTGGAATCGAGAAAGACCCTCAATTAAGCTCGGGAATTAATATCCAAGAATACGAAATTTTGTAGCAACGAATATTATTTGCCAATGCAGGTTCCCAAAGGTTCATATTCGAGCTGGGGAATTTTATTCCTCATTTTGGCGATTTTTAAGCCGTCGAACATTTACGGCTAACCAGTGGGTTTTGACACATCGAGACAAACAGCCGCTATTGTCTGAGAAAGAATATTATATTTTTTTGTGCCTCCACCAACACAAACAATAGGACAATCTTACTTGGTTTCACGAAAATTATGAACCCCCAATTACAACTTAACTAGCCGGTTTCCACATACGTGACCACCCTATATACAAGATTGAATTATGAGCTGTAATATTATTCACGAACAACTCTAAAGTCAACTGAAATTTTGGTTGCATGAGAGTAAAAGAATGATATGAAGAACTGCTCAAAAAAATTAAAGATCGATTGGCGTTCTTATAAGAGAAATGTTGCTTTAATTGCCATGATTTCTATTCAACAAAATTATTTTATGATTCAATTTCAGCCAGTGATCAGTATGTAAATCGAATGATCGCGGTGTTCGTAAACCATGTCTAATTTGTACTATTTCTGAGAGTGCAATTATATGCACTCATCTGAGAACCAGCCTGCCAGAGCGTATTATTGACTGAAACTTGAGTATTACTAATTTTGTGTTGACAGAGAATCTTTGAGGAAATTCCAGGTTATGGAATTGACCTCGCATATTAAGACAATCAGACGATTAATGTCCTAAGTATGAGCTTTCAGGTATAAGCTTTGGAAGACAACTATTGGAATGTTTTGCGTTAACTTCGTTTATCCATACACCTTCTCAAACGGGAACAAGGTTAAGGGCTCCAAAATAAATGGAAGAATATCGAATAATCATCGACTACACCGGCTATATAGCATTTGAGCATACTAAAATTGACCGGAGCTCCACTATATTTTTGAAGTATCAAAGAATAACGAAAAAGGGTGGACTTTAGATAAATGATCACGTCACGCAGCTAATTTCGGACCATTCAACTTTGCTTTCTTGAGTTGGCGGTTAAGCAGCGGGGTTAATATTCCGCCAACTAGCTAGGAACAATGGAATAAATATCATTGAATTGGCGGAAATCTAGAAAATAAATCTCACTAACCTGAAATGCAATTGTTCGGAGATTGGGATGAAATACTCCTGTAGTATTAGACGAGTGTCGTCATTAGAAGTATGTAGCCAAATTGTAAGCAATTAACCCAACAAGAAGAAAATAGTGCTTGATCAATTTTTTTACTCTCTGTCGATTATGATGCTAACTCAACGAACCAAATTTTTACACGATTGTGATGTCGCTTACGTTTCCCTTTTCACTCCTTCCCCTCACGAATTTTTGCAACCGAAAAATTCGGAGGATATCATCATTAGCACATAGCTCGTAATGGCAATATTGTTGTTATAATTTGAGTCAAATAATTTTTCTGTTGTGTTTCCAATTCTGGGAAAATAAAATAATTTACCACAGAACTGCATATAAATGATCCTGTCGAATCAATCACCCTTTATTTCTACACCTTATCGGCGCATCCAGGAATTATGACATTGACACTCCCTCTAAACACAGGACGACAAATTCCGTTTCACGAGAGCGTTCAAAGATAATAAATATATGCAGAACTTTGATATCAACTTGAAATATCTCCACATTTTTTTGATACCTGCCCGAATCAAGACTTGTGTGGTAAGGAAAATGGAAAATAGAAAGTGTGTTGGTCCCAAAGACTCTCCCATAGCAGGAGCCACCATTGACCTCATTGGACGGGATCATGTTGGATTTGGGTGATATTTTGGTGATATTCCTTGACTCAAAAATTTAGACGATGTTTCCAAGTAATCCGACTTAGTCAAGAAAGTATTGAAATCCATTAATGCTAATGAAGAACAAATCCCCAAACTTATTGGTTTGAAGTCTAAAGAGTTTGGAAAGAATGTGAAAGGTTTCTGGAATCTATGAGAGATACGTAACAGGTAGAAATCAACTAGAAAGGTAGATACTGGGAAAAAAAATTCAATTTCTTCCCTGAGCTCTATCTTGGTTTTGTGACGTGAAGAAGGACGTTCGTAACAAATATCACTTAATAATAAAAAGTGTCAAACCTGTGACAAAGATGCGACTCTCACCCTCTGCACTGACGCTTTCTTACTTATGAATACCTTTTCACTATTGGCACTTGCTTTACTCTACATTCTCCCGAATCAAAGAACTCCAAATACCAGAAGTTGAGAGTTTGTTCAAACCGTTCAAGAAAGTGTACATAAAACTATAAAGTTGCGAAAGAAAGAAAACGAAGAAACAAAAAAATCATGTAAAGCAAAAGATTTAAGCAAACCACAAGAAGCTGGCAAGCAATATCAAGAAAGAAGTGACCGCCTTGGATGAAGCACCGCCTTCTAAGACTTCATAAGTGCTGACAGGAGTGTAAACATTAGGTGAAGTTGTTCCAGAGTTATAAGAACCTGGTGAATCAGAACCGGAACCAGAACTTGGAACTTTGGTTGGAGTTGATTGAGGAGTAACTTGAGGGTTTCCACCATCAGTATTGGTACCTTCACATTGATCACATGGTAAAGTCCTGGTAGTAACTGTTGTTTTGGTTGAGGTTGAGACACCACCTTCACAAACATCACATGGAAGGGTGACAACAGTGGTAGCAGTTTCAGTGGTGATGATTGGACCAGAAGGTGAAGGTGTGACAGCGGTTGAAGTAATCATAGTTGTGTCAGTAACTGGACTTGGAAAGACTTCTGAGGTAGAATTAGACCAAGGAGTTGGAGTGACAACCACGAATTCAGTAAGAGGTACTGAACCGGTGGTGATGGTAGTTAAGTAAGTTGTTGGGAATCTACCAGGAATAGTAGTAGTCGGAATGTCTGGAGTAGGAGTTAAGACAACGTACTCAGTGACGGGTACTGAACCACTGGTGATAGTAGTCAAGTACGTAGTTGGTACTGAACCACTGGTGATAGTGGTGGTTGGGATATCTGGAGTAGGAGTGACAGTAACATATTCAGTAACTGGAACTGAACCAGTGGTGATGGTAGTCAAGTAAGTTGTTGTTACTGAGCCACTGGTGATGGTAGTAGTTGGGATATCTGGAGTAGGAGTAACAGTAACATATTCAGTGACTGGAACTGAACCGGTGGTGATGGTAGTCAAGTAAGTTGTTGTTACTGAGCCACTGGTGATGGTAGTAGTTGGGATATCTGGAGTAGGAGT